GAGGAATCACAGATTTCAGAAGCTTTAACTTCTTGACTCGTCCTGAAAATAAAGAATTAATTATGAGACAACGAATACAAAACCATTTGTTAAAAATGTTACTTGAAAAATTGATATCTTTTTTTAGTTTTAGAAACTAAATCGGCTCGGAACATTACCTTCGACGATCTCATCGGCTGCCTGATGAATTTCTTGAGGCATGGAGTCGTTAATTGTACGAGCGACTTCACCAATTTTCTCAACGGCTGGCGCAAAGTTGATCTATCACAAAAATTTATAATTAAATTTCTTTTCCAACGATAGGAATCAATAAAAGGTCCAAACTTCATAGATCTATAAAATCTTTAATCAATGATATAATCAGCATTACCCTTAAACTCCGTCCAGTGAAGTAATTACTAGCTTCTTCACCAACAAAACTCTCAAGAACGTTCTGTCTTTCGGCGACATCATTAGCACCATCGATTTCCTGATCATAGATCAAATTTTTACTGGATCTAGCATTTCTGCCATCCGAATTAGCATCCTGATTCCTGATCAGGTTGATTCCTGGTACAATCTCTAAACTGTCCTTTCCAAAAAATTCCTTGGCCTTCCTATAGATGCTCTTTTGCACGCATGATATGCTGTCCTGCTGGAGACACTCATCAAGATTCTGACCTGCCACGAAGACAACAGCAGTCGTTAGGTACACGATTATTAATAAATTCATTTCTGTGTCTCTCCCTTTTTCCTTGCACCAAGTATCACACCGAACAATCAAATCTCGCGCGAACAAACGATCTTCAGGAGATTAGGAGTCGCCCTTTTTCGAAACTTGTACCGGTTGCGTAGTGAAATTTCGTGTGGTCCATCGGACAATCTCTTAAGCTTATATTTGGTGGACCCCTCTACCATCGCCACCACATACGCCCCACCTCTACTTTTTTCTTTTTCCTTCCTATATGCGTGCGTCACGTGCGTTCGTTCGTTCATTCGTAAGCGTTCGCGCGCACATGACCAAACCTCTTCTTACCTTGTCCTTGTCGCGGCCGTTTAAACGGCCCCTTGTATGCGGGTATTCGTTCAAACAACGATAAGTGTGTGGCTAGCATCATCTTGTAGGTGTCTATTGGGTTATTGCGATCTGTGACCTGCCTGTGGCGAGCGAATAGAGGACAAACTAACCGCCTTGTCAAACGAACAATTCTACGAGTCTCTGTCCAAGTTTTTAGAAAATTATGCTACACAAAAGAGTGTTCTGAAATTTGAAGTCACCGATATTTGAAATTCTCATGTACTAATGATCAATTTGTTTATTGATTGCAATTTTTTTTACAAACCATTGCTTTATATTAAATATTTATATTGATTATAGTACATATATCATCGAGATAAAGCTTACGGTAAACGATAGAAAAGAACATAAAAGAAGCGTATACATAAGAAACCTCGTTAGACTTTATCATAACTCGTTAACATAAAACGCCCACATAATTGATATCAATAGCCTTACCAACTCGTTTGCTTTTTCTTTTGAAGAAGAGGAACGAACATGTAGGAGGTAAAAGTCTAAAAATTGGTCATATTCTTCCTTCGGCATTGTGAAACTGCAACAGAATTATGATACGATCGACGAATCCATCGAGTTTGGCGGATGCGAAACTCGAGGACGATCGGCATGAATGAAAGAAAACTAGTAAGGATCAAGTTCAAACATCCCGGATACGACCTTCATCGCGACGAACACCACTTTCTACTCTGACCTGCTGCTCTCAGGGGCCAGCGATAACGTCTCTCTCTCGTTTTCGTTTCGTTCCTTCCGACACACGCGCGAGTTTCAAAGTATCGAATGACAGCTTACAGAAAACACACACAATTCGAGTTTCATGAGACTATAGTACTTCTTAGTAGGCTAGTCACGTTGTCGACTAAACCAGCTTGTAACATAATCTTTGGCTGATTATATACCTATTAGATATTCACTCGTTGTTACATGTTTGTAGAGTTAGCTATATTTTTCAATTTCCTTTCGTTTAAACATTAATTTGTTCGCAAAATAAACAATGTATATTATCCATTAACTTATACAACTCGCTATATAAAAAGGAATTCAATGAAAAGGAGTTGAATCTCGTACTCGATCTTACGTCAGTAGTCATTCATCTTTTCTCGGTCATTGGGTAACTCTCAGAATTCTCTCGGTCGATCATATGTTCCCCTCGGAAGAGCGAGCCTTAAAAAGTAAAACCAAAGTTTCTCCTTATGCTTGCACCACCGACCGCTAAGTCATGAACACGCCCAGAGTAGTAAAATTGTTATTTTCACCAAGAAGAATATGACTTTTGATCAATCATATTCTTGACAGGGTTAATCTTCTTATTTTCTAAATGTAAATACTAAAATTTATCTCGTGTCTAATCGTATCTTATCTATTTATGCATGTTAACTCACTTAAAATTGATTTTTTCAAAGATAGATATTGCAAACTTAATATTTATTCTTTGTTATGATATAAATATTACCATCGATAATACAAAATAATTATTTCTGATAAAATTTTACTACTTCGAAGAGCTTTTAGATATTCAACGAAATTCCATTAGATTCTGAAATGTATTTGAAAAGATATCGTGTAGGTAAGTACGAGAAAGCAATCCGTTCAATCTCCTACGATGAGATTATTCCAGTACTACACGAAAAGGAGATCTGTATGAAGTGCATTTGAGATATCAAAAGATCTTTACCTCCTACGTTATTTTCCGTTCGAATCGGAGAAAGTTTGTATGGGTGTCATGCCGTCTCTTTCTTTCCTTCTATTTCCGGATTTGTGACTACATTCGGCAAGCTGAAAGAATTCATAAAATTGAAATTTTTTGGATTCTAGAAAGATTGTAGTATCTTTTCTTCAAACTTCCACATCGCGACAAGACGCATGCGCGACCTGAAAAATCAATCGGTAACTACGCTCCTTCCCCAATTTGAATTTTAAATTTTCCTCTTCCATGGATCGTAATGAGTTAGGAATATAACGGAGTCCTCATATCCCTGGCGAACGATCTATGTGTCTCTCATCTTTTCTCTTCTCAACACCTCACAACTCGATTACTGTGGCAGAAAACTGAAATATTAATAGACCATTTCCGAGTCTTAACGACTTATGACCGATAGCGATTAAAGAAATCTTCTATCGAAAAAATGATTAGGACTTATTGCGACTCGAAACGCAATAACCTTCTCGAATTGCACTCAAAAACAAAAAATCGATTCTTCGTTAATACTCTATTCGCAATGCTCCGCGAGTGAGCGCGTATATATGTCAAAGGAGTAATAGTCGTCGAATTTCAAATTAAATAGGTATCGAAAGTTAGGAGGAAATATCGACGAAAGTAAATACAAGTAAACGACGAAATCACCTAGTAGCTTGGTAGATTAGAAAGTATTTTGTTGATGGGAATAAAAACAGGAGAGAAGCGAAGGAAAAGAAAAGAGTAAAAAAGAAAGAAAAAAAGACAGATAGAAACCGAAGAAGAGACTTTGAGATACGAGATAGAAAGTGGTTTCGACTTCAAAGAAACGATTCGTCAAAAGAACAGTAAATATATACTATGTATAATATTTGAAAAAAGAAGACCAATTAACATTTCGATCAACAAATAGCGAAACTCCGGAGAAGTACCTGCATGGACTTCACATTGCGTCTGGACCGATTTCAAGGTTTGCCGGCACGTTTTATGATATTCGAGACATAAAAAAGGAACCGTCTCGCAAATGTGTGTCAGTAGGTCTACGGCTTCCACTTTCCTAGCGAAGATATTCTCTCTTTCTTTTCGTAAATAAAAGGAAAAGAGAGATAGTATGACGAAGATCGTAAGGAAAGAAGAAAAAGAAGCAAAAAAAATGGATTCCACTGCTTTCGCATAATTAATTTTCTAGTTCGATAAACCTTTCTTCGAGCAAAACAAATAATTTCTCACTCATGAATCAAAGATTCGAATGCGCGTGAACATGCAAGAGAGACGAGCAGCATAAATAAATAGTACAGAGTGTTTTATATTTTGTTTTGTAACGTGGCTTGAAGCTTTCCTAGATTCTAGTGGTGGAAGAGGAAAACTATTGATCCACTTATAAAAGGCACGCTTTGCATCGAAAGCTAGGATGCTAGGCGTATCCGCGAACAGGTGTATATGCATCGCACGCCATCGGTCAGCGTGGCAGTTCACTGACACACTTTTCTCTTTCTCGGATCCTCGAAGCCGTCCCCCCTTAACTCGATCGCCTCTCTTGTGTCAATTTTATTCCCTTTGCCAGTCCTCCTCATATCATTTCAATGAACGTCTTTGAAAGATACACTTCCGTTCTCTGATTAATTCAAATATTTTCTGTTTGTTAAATATTTTTAGAAGAACGGAAGAACGTTTAAGAATCAATATTATATTTAATATAAACGATAAATATCCGCGTGCGTAGATGCGTAATCAAAGATTAAAATTAAAGGCAAATACATATCGATTGATTACAGAAGTCTAAATTTATTTAAATAACTTAAATTTAATTGTATACATATATTTGTGAATAAAAAGCTGCGAGACGTGTTGAGCGTAAAATTAATCGTCGGTTAATAAAGATCAGAATTACGCTTGTCAACGAATCGCGTTGTCTTACCGTCGTTTCGAAATAAGTAATAAATAAGAAAGAAGAAAAAAGAAATAAATAAGAAGAAGTAAAAGAAAAAAATAAATAAAGATTGATCGTATACTTTGGTTCGTTCGTCGGTATTCGTTCTTGCTCGTTACGAGTCGTTCGTGATCGTCGAAAAAATTTTTAAAGTTCGTCGTCGGTTGTCGTGTAAAGTCAATTTCCAATCATTGGTCCATGTTGTCATTGTTAATGTCTTTGTCACTACGTTCGTAACGTTGCCGTCTATTTAAAGTCGTTTCGTCATTATCCTCGCTCGTACACGTCGAAGCATGTCTTAAGTCTTATAAACGATTCTACTAATTGTAAAATTGGTTGTCGCGTCAGGACCCCTTCAGATCTCCGTAAAGATTTGCGTAGCCTCTGTAAGGCAAGTTGAGAATGTCATCGTTCTCCTCGGACATACTACGTTTCTTACGATGATGATGACCGACTTCTTGCGCGTAAACAACGTGGTGTCCACCTCCGTCGTCTCCACTACTGGCTAATTTCTTCACAGCGATGATTATGGACAGCATCAGAGCAAGACCGGACACCATTAATGCCTTCATCGTTAAAAGACCAAGTGCACCAAATCCCATGGCAGCCATCATTTTACCTGGCAATGCACCATATAACATAAATTCGATTGTCCATTAAGAATGAATGATTTAATAATCGTAAATATTTTACCCATCATTAGAGCCATTATCATTAGTCCACTGCCACCCTTTTTACCACCACCACCTCCTCCGCCTCCACCCAAACCTCCTCCGCCACGTGCTCTTCCACCTGTTGAATGGAAAACAATCATATAAAATATAAAATATATCTTAATTCTCACTTAATTTTCTACCAACTTGGACCAACCTTCGCCGATCATTGAAGCGGTCATAGTCTTCTCAAAAACTGTCTCAAAATTTTGCGGTAATAATTTTGGCAACTTCACCCTTAACTCTCGACCTTCAAGAAATTGTAGCAACGGCGTCATACTACCGAAGTCTTTGAGGAATCTTCCTTTTCGCGAGGAACTTGCGTCCTCCACTTCAACCAGACTAATTCCATCGAAGATCTCTATATCCGGTTCTTTGCTGGAGTTCTCGAGAAGTTGCTGAACGACTTGTCTGACAATCCTGACTCCCTGACACGATACCGAAAGATTTTTTGGTTCTTCTGCCGAGCAATCGGTCGAAAAGTCCTTCCAGGCGTTAGCAAAATCTTTAGATAGGCCACGATCGATAGCTATCACGTTCGACAAACAAAGAAATGTTGCGAGGATAAGAAGGAAACGCTCTACAATAGATGGCGTCCAACGTGCGGAAATTTTCCGCGACATATCCGTCTCCCTTCGTTTTTCTTCTTTCTTCAAATTCGCCAATAATAAAGTCGACCGTTTTTACGTAAGAGGGTAGAAATGGCGAAGTGATACTGTGGAACCTACGGCAGAGATCCGAGTGCTGCAGCAGAACGCTCTGCAAATCCCATTTATATAGATCTACATGCCGCGATGGTGATCATAGAAGGATGAAAAAAAGTAAAAAAGAGAATAAAGAAGTCTCGATGAAACGAACGGACTAGCCATTCTCCTCTCCCTTGCGATGCATTAGCTTACACTCTTTTTCGTACATTATAAATAAGATCCTTATCCTCCTCGTCTAGTGCAATCTTTTATTTGTGAAGTAAGCGTTTTAGAGCGTTACGGCGAGCGTTCGACCGATAAAGAAAAAGAGAGACATATACCTAGACAACGCTTTTGCTAGAAGAACACTTTTTTCTCTTATCTACCTTTCCCTCTCTCTTTTCCTTCCCTCATTCACTTAACTTATGAAAGGAGAACGTAGAAAAGATGCAATATCTATGATGAGATTCTATGGCGTTTGTTTCTAGATCATTGTCCGATGAGATATCTTCCTCCTTATGATCCACCCTTCCCTTTTCTGAAACAATCTCTAACCTTTGCGCGATCTTCTTCTTGTTAGTGGAACGGAAAAAGAGAGCGTACTAATTTCGAATCTCGATTGTGACCGTGACGTCTTGGAGAAACGTTAACGATCTTTGATTTTCCAGCCGGATACAAATTCTTATCCCCGGAAAAGGCAAATTTCTCGATGATCTCGGTAAAGGTCTTTCGGTGAGGAACGATTTTGCATGATTGATCTTACTCGATAGTTAAAAGACAACTCAGAAACCATATGGATAAAGAAATATGGACAGAAATCGTCAAAAGTCTTAGTCGCTTCAGTAGACTTCGTTTCGGCTCGTAAGAAAGAAGGACGCGAGTATAGTAGTTTGATACGCTCGAAATCTTGAGATCACAGGCAGAGGGAAAACTAGAGGAGGAGGAAAAGGAGGATGAGGATGAGGATCGAGGAAAGGTAGGAAGCGAGAGAAACGATGAGTATCTATCTTCTAAAGAAAGAGAGAGAAGACAAATCTAGTTCATCTCCGAGCCTTTCTCTTCTGTTCCACTTCCCTCCATATTCTCGATTCCGACGCTATATACGCATCACGGACCTGTGACAGGTATAACTAGAGCCGGTTCGATACCGGCAACTTCGTTCCTTCGGACGACGCAATCGCACACGGACGTCTTATATTGATCGATGCAATCCTCGTACGATCGTTCTGAGATTTCTTAAATCCAATATTCATCGACGATCTACTTTCTTTTTTCTCTCTGATTCTATTTAACTTCTTTTTTAAAATTCTTTTAACTTTTGTTTCTTTTTGTTTCTTTTAAAAAGAAACAACTTTTTATTTATTTTGAGGATGTTATAGAATAATTTTTTTATTTTCCAATAGAAAAAGAAATCTATATAGTTTTTTCGTCATATTTGTGTTAACAATTTTGTTAATAATTGATACCTTAAAATAAATTAATATATATCCTCGTAAAAAAAAAGCCAATAAGGTTTAGAAAGAATTATATTAACATTTAAGTATTATATTTAATCGAACTTAATCGGCTTCGGTATTACGTTGACTTAATAAAAAAAAAAAACATCTTAAAAATGGTAAAACACATTCAATGTTTCTAGAGTTTACAAAAAATATAATTTGTAGATAAGAAATCGAAAGTCGATGTGCACCTGAAAAGAAAACGAATAAAGAATACTTCCTTTTGGACTTGCTTTTAATTCTCTCTTTTACACGTACATAAACACGAATCTAGCAGGAACCTATCATAAACGAAGTGGTTCCTCATCACGCACGTCTCTTTCGTCCAATTCTTTTCAATCGTGATGGAGAAAGCGATCATATGGAAGTAGGTCAGCGTATGAATACGAGATGTTTTTCCTGAACTCTACATTAATTTTTTCTTTGAAATCAAAACATTTAATATCCTGTTCATTCGAAACTTATTCGTTTCACTTTCGATTAGCTTTACTATTGATTTATTGTTATAATATCTTATTTTGTTAATGATATTTTGTGTTTTCACCTTAGAAAATACTTCGATTTATTATTTTGTTTATTAATCGTTAAATACAGTTCATTGTGTAATGTTTTATTTATATTATTTTTCATTCAAACGCATTTGTATTTCCAGGATATTGTCTAATAGCAAATTTTCTCCCTTGGAATTTATCGCTATTAATTTCTTAACAATCAATGTCTTAGAATTGTCAAATTTAAATTCCTATTTCTTTGTTGCGGAAAAATTGGTTAATTCATAAGGATCTCTAAAAAAAATAGAGAAACAGATTTATTACAAGAATATTTTTTAAAAGATTTGCATATTCGTATATCAATAAGTGTCAACGTACTCAAATTTTTAGTAGAAAAAGCCAATAGTCAGCTCTAACGTACCAATGGATGTCGCTTCAAAATAGCTTTCTACCTGTGAAAAAATAATTTTTCACAGTCATAATAGAGGAAATAAATAGATTTAAATTCGTCAAAATGATGGCAGTAAAAACAGAAATTTTAATCCGACAGTAGTCAATGATATGTAATAATATCAGTAACTTGTTAAAAAAAAAGTCTCTGTCGGAACAAAAATATGTTTATATTAAAGTATAAAATTGAATTTAATATTGATTTCAAAGCACTTAAAAATGAAATAATAGATATTATAGTAATAATGGTATTTGAATTATGCGTATTCATCAACTACAATAGTCTATAAATTATTTTCTATAACACGTTTAGTCATATGTCTAAAATTGAATCGTTACACTGTTTATCATTTTACCAGACGCTAAAGTCCCGCTAAGTTTTGCAATGCGGGAAGCATCGTTCAAACTTCGAGTTCAGTTAATTTAAGAAAAACTGTTTTACTGTTACGAGCTTATTTCTTATTTAACTTCAAGCTCATTTAATTTAAGAGAAATTTTTTTACTGTTAAGAACTTATTTTTCATTTAACATTAATTTTTTAAATTTGTTCCGTTGCACAATTGTTCTGTTTTAGCTATCGTCTGCAATTTTTTTTCTTTCGTAGATTTACAGGTTTATCTCACAAATTATTAATTAGTATCAAAATGAGATTGTAATCTTTGATTTTTAAATAACGTAAATCATTACTATTTCATTGATATTTGATGTCTGTCATATTTATAAGCATTCCAGTAGAATGATTTAAGAGAGAAGAATTCTAAATGACTTACGTTTACTTGGAGAATAGCCGTGCGTATCCATTTAAGATTCTTCCTTTTTTTGGAAACTAGTTTTACAACCGGCACCGGTTAATAGGCCGAACAGAATAAGAATTGATAGGAGATTCCGCATTATCTTCATTCTTCGATATGAACAAAGTTTAAAAAGAGACGTTGTAAAGTTATCTGCCATTCTGATGTTTTCTTTTCGTATTCTTTGTTATAGAAAAATATAATTTTCGACGTTCATATGGCGTAACAAATAGAGATAAACGCCGGATGTATCAAATGGAAAGATATCTTACCGTGCGATAGTTAATTATAAGAATCGAGAGAGACCAATTACAATTATATAGTTAAAAATTTACAATTTCTATACATTTCCGAGAATAATAATAAAGTAAAAGAAAAAAAAGGATCTTATTTTAATTTCGCGTTCTTCTAATTAAACGATAACATTACGAATAAATCATTATATTATAAAAACAATAAATATTTATTTATACAACAAAGAATATTAAACATAACGTTATGATACATTTGCACTGTCGATAATGAAGAAGTGAAATAAATTAATGGTAAAAAAATAAATACTAGCAAGCGATATTTGTTACTTTGGATACTCGTAGACACGATTCAACTTCGTCTTCCGTTTCTTGTCTTTTGGTCGGGTATACATCCTTGGTCTTGATAACGTCTATCGTATTCGGTATAACTATCTTATGAATCTCTTTCAATAGATATTCAATTCTTGAGATATCAGAAAATAATATAAGAAAGATCTCTAATGTCTTCTTATTGTGATAAGAATGTTGCGTGTAATAATAGAAAAAAAAAATAGTAAAACAAATACAACATCTCATGTAGAAAGAGATAGAGTATATATCGAATGTTCGTCATTCTAGCGTCATAATGCGTAGAGAATCAAAGTCATGATAAATAGATAAGGTAGCACAGTCGTGTCTGTTGGATTTTTAGGAGGTGAAGGCACCCCAAATGATGAAAAAAAGAAAGAAAGAAAGAGAAATGATAAAAGAGTAAATGATCAAAAATGAAAGAAAGATAGAAATAAATAGAAATAGAAAAAAGAAGATAAAAAATAGAGAATGAAGAGCCTAGAATAACCAAAGTAAACACCTAAGAATTAATACTAAGATTGTGAAGACAATACGAACGATACGACGGATTTCACAGAGCAACTAATCGATCCTGCATATTTTTCTGACTTCTCGTCTTCTGTCTCATTTTTTTTATTAGATGTGAGCGGAGTAGACCAAATCGTGAGCATCTCCTTGGCCAGAAATCGGTGGCTGCGCATGGAAATTTCTTGCCCATCCACTTGAATAGCTATCACCGTGTCCATGATCGGAACTGTAGGTATGACTCGAGGAGTGATGTGGATGAGCGACGACTTCGTACGTCACGTGCTTCTGTTGCGAAAAGAGCTTTTTCAGGCCGATAATACTGGCCAAGAGTAAAGCAATCTTCGAAAGCAAAAGAGCTTTACCGACCAACAATGCCAAAGCCTTAAAGGCCAAACCAGCGATCACACCGATCTTCAATACAGCTGCTGCCATTAGTGGACCCATGTTGTTATTTTTTTTACCACGACCTGAAAAACGTCGATTGTCTTTTTAAAATCAATTATTACTTTCTTTCCTTCTTTTGCTCGTCGTCTCGATGAAAAGATAATTAAAAAAAGTCAATGGACCACTTTATTATTGATCATAAAATCGAACAAAACCACTAATCGATTAATCGTTAAATATCTCCATCATACTTTTTTTACTCATTATATCATTGACTCGAACTTGATACTTGAGGCTATAAGTATAGATTATTCAACGCAGATTAAGTAATCAAAGGTATGATTACCGTCTTGAACTGGTGCATTGTCCGCGCGTTCGATAGAAAGGCCAAGATTGAGAGATCCATTTTTGTCCTCAGAAGCAGACACGACGACATTATCTTCTGGAAGAATTCTCCACTTGATGCTTCTGGATTTGACGAAAGCGTAGACTTTGTTAGCCACGAGATTAAGTACTTCCGTTTCGTCGTCCGTACTTCTGCCTGCTTCGTATGTAATAACCTCCTCCGTAGCTTGGCTAGTCTTTCTGATTTCAATGTCATCGGTTAACTCAATGGAAGCCTTTTTCAATAGCTTGTTCATATACGTCACAAGCTTCAACATAACGCAACTGCTAATATCGTTTTGCGAACACTTATTATTCAATTTTCGAAGCAGCTCCTCCTCGTATTTCGCTCGATCTGTCATTGTTATAGACTGCTGCTCGATAACGCTGATTTTGTCAAGCTTCTCAATAGGATTGGCAAAACATATACCTAGAGCGTAGATCATCAGTAATGCTAAAACCGCTCTCATCTTGCTCTAAAAAAAAATTGCGAAATAATCAATTGAAATTAATAAACTCCAAAGTATAATCATGATCTCCTAAACGGTATTAATCTATTTAAGGAAAGCGAAGATAAATCAACGAGAAAAAATTTTGAGTCGTACGTACCTATTTGTTTTTGAACCGAACGTTATCAGAACCGGACGAACTTAATACTCTAGATAAGTTTCAATCTACGGAGGCGACCCGTTGTATCACGCTCGATGCGTGGAACGAGCGTGGTAAGGCGTCTGAACCCGCGTCTCGCCCCGGCTACTTTATATAGGTAGATCTATGGGCTTAGTAGAGCCAAGTTGTATGCGTACAACACGATATGGCAAACGCCTTCTCGGTGGACCACCTCCTGCAGGAGGTGTGTGAATAACCAGCTCGGGAGGAGGACAGCCACTTAGGTAGGAAGAGGACAAAGAAGAAGTTAGAGGAGGAGAAGTAAAGCAGAAGCAACATTAGAAGAGAAAGAAGGAGGAGCGAGCGATAGCAGTAGTGGCTCGCTTGCTGCATGATAGTGCCAATTATTTCTCGGTATTGGTAAGCAATTCTATAGATGTATGCGTATATCCACGTATTTATATTGGCATTGAGAAGCTGATGGTGGGACGCATCATGCACAACTCTCTCGTGGGATGAATCTCTCGCGGAAGAGAGAATCAAGCCGATACCAAGGTGAGGACACTTGGAAGAGATTAATCGTCTCAGAATACTCACGCAAACTGGTCCCATTCTTCGCACACAGATACGAGTGAACCGCTCGAAGAACAGTCATATACCACATACAAGGATATAAGGTCTTACTAGAAGTTTCACGTATATTATCGGCGCTCCCGAGATGATCTTGTGTGAGTGCACGAGCTTGTATAACGTACGCATCATACGTTCGCCCATATTCGAACCACTCGCGTTGGTGGCAGACATCAAGCCCGACCCATCACGAGAACCATGTCACGGATGTGGAGCACGCATCCAGATCAAAGACATGTATACACCTTTCATACGCTTGAATGCCATGGATTTTACGCAAACCGTAACTCTTATACCTTAGTCTTCCAATGTGGATTTTATTTCTTAACTACTTGTAAAATTTCAATCAAAGGAATCATGTATCAAGTTTCTAGGATTATCATTAAAAGATTTAAATTTACAAGAGTAAACTCTCTATATGAAAAGGATAATGAAAGTAGTCTTCTCATATATAAGAGATATCGATATAAAGATAACCTAGAAAGCGTTCGTAATAGGTTATCATTGATTTTGGAACTGAAAGTCATCCGAAAGTATGAAATAGGAAAAAAGAATTGATAGAAACACTAATTCTTGAATCTTATACATAGCAACGAGCGGTTTAATCTTATAATCAACAAAAGATCGACGAATCATCCCAGATTCACGGAAAAACTTCGAAGGGAAGATGCGAATAGCTCGACTGGTTTTCGAATCCTGTTAGTTTCTTCCTACCAAGAACCGCTTTCACATAAGATCGCGGAGGTTAACCGCGTCGCCGAGCTTCGATCTTGGAAAGCTTGCAGATTATCACATTAACGTCCATCGATCATCTATTAATCTTCATCATCTACATCTTCGTGAGAATATGATTCTCGTCTAATAAAAAGACAAAATAGCTTTTGAGTACTTTCGAGCGAGACCGTTACATGTGTCGAATTCCAATTAGATTATTATCCGTTGACATTGCCGTTGGAAAAACTCGCTGAACAAACTATCGATTCTCCATTATGGCGTGGGTAACAAGCCGTAAAAATGTTGCGTAGATACATACACGTGAAACGACAACATTTCTCATATCGTTCTTCGTTCTCTTTCTCTTTCTCTTTCTCTCTCTCTCTCTCTCTCTCTCTCTCTCTCTTTCTTGCTTAACGACTTGCGGTACTTCAATATCTACGTTTCATTAACTTTCTCTTGTGTAACCTTTTATCCTAATTCTTCCTACGAGCCTACTTTGAAAAGACGCTCCTTATTAATCCTTTTACGATCAATTCAGCGATTTACGTAACACTAACGTTTTCATTGATGTTAAGTGAATAATCGCTTTCAGTTAATCGGGTTATCCTGTTTGTAAAATTCGCATTTCTTGATATTGCCAAATAATCGTCTCGATACTGATCGCACGTGCGCGAGAGAAATTCAAGAATTCTTTCTTGACCTTAATTCTGAGCCTCTCTAACATTGTGAAATACCTATATATGTAGATACATGTATCATGATCAACACGAAAAATGCATGGAGTGTTTAACGCAAGAAAGCTTTGGAAGGTTAATTCTATTCGTTTGAAATAGCAGGATTAGAAAACGAGCACTGAGCGAAGGCAAAGAAGAAAATCGATTGAAGCTTTATCAAAGATTCCCGAAAGATATCTGGAACTCGCGAATATTTTCACGGACTTTCCGGCATGGCATTTTCCTTATACCGCCCCGTCTATGGCTATTCACTTCCGGTCTTCTCGGACGAACGAGGTCACTTGGTCAACGGATCCATTCTAGCCGATTCTTTGGATCGCACCAGTGAGAATCATATCAGGCTAGTTCTCTTCTATTCGCGGATATCTTCGTCTTTTCCCGTTTTGTGCTTAAAAAGAAAGAGACCAGGAGAGAGAGATAGAGAGAAAACTGATGAAGCACGATTATTTTCTCGTTCACGATTTTCATGCCAAGATGAGCGAACCGGCCGGACCTACTACTTAATGTTGTCTGGTCCAGCATTCATCCACCATCAATATCTATTTATGCTATTTTCGTAGACATTGATTTAATTAATCTGCTCGAAAGATTAGAGAAAACGATTAGAAATGTAATCCTTGCAATTAATTTACTGCAGAATCATATAATTTTATTTTTCAAGTGTATTTTTTATAAAGAATGTGAAATGTTGATAAGAAATCGAAATTCCTCTTATCCGATTCTCACTAGTGAAAGATGCTCGAATAGTCGATCCACATTCGCATCTGATATAAACATGAATTGGACGTTTTCGTTGATATCGGGAGAAAGTGCATTATAGCAATCAAATTTATAAATGATGACGACGACAATTGTTACAAATAATCAATTTATTTACGTGCCTAAGAAATCTGTGTCCCAATTTCTGACCGTTTTCACTGGACGAAAGATTGCTCTTTCAAATCGTTTATTATAAAAAATATATATCTTAAGAAAATAGTCTTGAGCAAGCGAAACTTTCAACATAGTCCATTTTAAAACCGTGAAGTGAAAACAATTATTCTTTTTTTTATTTATATGCAGGAAGAAGAGGATGAATGTATGTATCTAACCACGTGAGATGATATGCTTTCTACATTTATCTGATATATTTCTATATGGCTTCGCTTTGTTTTAATAATGTATAATCTCATTAAAACAAGTAAAAACTACTACACACAGAGGTTAAATAATCATTGGAACATAACGAAAAATTTAACAAATTACTATCATACCATTATTGGTTATTAACTCTTGTTTATAAGAGTTATTAACTCTTGGTTATAATCTCTTGTTACATGTATTTAATTTTATTATTTCGTTTTATTTACATTAACAGCAAAGCTATTTTTCTTCTTAATATCAAAGAACAAATGTTTGTATGTTTTTATGTAAAAAAATAATATATATATATATATATATATATATATATATATATATATATGTTCGGTCTTCATGAGATTATTCAAAAGATCTATAATAAACGTTTGTAAAAAAAATATTAACGAATTTATAATCATAAATTAATAATATATATGTACATCTGCTATCGATCAATTACATTATCGATCTTTACACGAAATTACATGGACATAGTTAAATACTAAGTATATGAGCTAACTTACGAAAACAACGTCAAAAAGAACGTCAAAAACGAGATCGAATTAGCTAGCTTCGCAATCGATTGATAAACAGTTCGATTCAACAACAATTCAAAATTAAGGTAAATAATAAATAATAAAGTAAGTATAGATACATAATAAGTAAAAAATCATCTTTCTTTACGATTGATATTCGCGATAGCCTCGATATGCAAGATTCTGTCCATAAGACACAGTATCTCCGTGGTAACTTCCATCATATTCCGTATTGTGATTTACGTAAGGATAAGGCTGATCGGAGGGCTCCTTGTAATAAGGATGCCCAATACCACTTTGGCTGTAAAAGGGTGGTTGATAATTTTGAGGTTTATACAATTTCATAAATCCTATTACTCCTGGTATAACGATAGCCAAAAATGTCAAAAATTTCTTGAAAGACACCAAGCCGAAGATTAGTGGTAAAAATAATAATAGTTTCAATTTGAAGAGCTTCAATACAATCAGCATCGGTATCAACAATTTTCGGAAACGATGACGAGCTAAAAAATATAAAAATTGTAATTGTCATTTATAGTATAACCTTTTGAATAATTTATAATATACAAACCAATCGAGAAATTCAAACCAAACTAATAGAATACTCACAGAAAAGAGAGTCCTTTTTATCTTCAAGAGTGTCAATCTCATCAACGATTTCATCTATAAATCTTGGTGAGTAGACTTCGTTTTCACCAATCTCTGAAGTTGGAACTTCTATTTCTATAGCCATAGTCTTTATGAATTTTTCCATTTTTCTTGATACGAACTTGACGAGCTGATCCCATTCCGATTCATCGGATCTACGATATTACAAAGCCATTGTAAATTTACATTCTCATTAACATATACTCCATTATAAACTTCATTTATTTACCTAGGTTCCGTCGAGTATTCATACGGTTGATGGCTAACGTCTGCGACCACTTGCCGAGACATTTGCACTACCTTTACATTTTCGTTCAGAACATAAGCTGTCTGATCGAAAAACTCGGAGAATGAAGAAAGTGCTTCAGATTTGAAGCATTCCGCTAGCTCGCCGTTCAAACAAGCTTTGTTAATCTTTGCCAAATACGGATCGATGTTTCGTCCTATACCGATACCAATCCAATCAAAAAGATTTTTACCTTTACGAGTTCCATTAAAGAATCTCCCATCTGGCTGCTGAGAATCAAAAATACCTGAAAGAAATAATATTTTATTTGATTTTTATTTGTTTAACTTAATTTATACGGTTGACTTGATTTATACGATAAAAAAATATTCTCAATGAAGACCAGTGTGCCACGAAACGTAAAATTACCAATATGTTGAAATATAAAAATTATAAATGAAATGAAATTGTTAATGTAACATCAACACAATGCGATTATTTCAACTATATTTATTTAAAACAAACAGTGAATTCTAAAGAATAAACGAGCATCGTTTATTAATAAATTAGGCTATCAACTTACCAATTTTACCACCACTTAACTCCTCACCTTTCTCTTCAGCAAAGGTAACTCTTCCTCCGGTAGATTGACTACATATCAACAGCGAAGAGGATAAAAGAAGCACGCAGCTTACCAACAATCGCACCGGTCGCATTCTGCCTCTATTAACTTTCGCCGGTACCTACACAAATTTTCGTAACCTTTATCGACATTCTGAGAAATATTGAATTTTTAATATAATTAATAAAATCGATATTGAAAGAAAGATTTTAAGTCGTTTGAGGATATTTTGAAAAATGAGATTACAATTAGAAATATAAAAATGAAAGATACATACAAAAAAGTTTTAAAAGACAAGTAAAGGATCACAGATTATTGATAATTCTTCAGATTATAAAGGCTAGACAAATAATTTCACGAAATAATAATTGACAAAGTTTCAACACTTTTGTATTAGTAATATATCTAAGCACACAGACTGTTATATCAAATGAAACTTTCTTGCACTATCTTTTTCTATTGATATTCAAAAAGAAAAAGAAAATGCTGAATTAGACTCTTACTTGTCTTTTAATCGTTTTTTGTCAGATGGTCGTCGTGCAAAACGTTTTAACCGACATGATGTCCACTATTTCCGAATTACAAAGCGTGCTTCTCGAACGTTTCTGTACGACGGACACATTAGTCGAACGAACGACTCCAACTATTCGCTGTAGTCTTCGAAGTGCCGTTAGACCGAAGAGACCAATCAGAATCGCCGGATCACAGTAAAAGCCGGCTCACGGTCTCACGTACACCTGCTGATATGCAGTACGTTCATTCCGTGTCGTCTTTTGAATAAAGATCAGCCAAATTATTAACTTTTCGACAATTTCGTAATTTTGCGATCAAAAAATAAACGTAAGCAATAATGAATCATCGATAAATAATTTTTTCAATCTCTTACTAATACTAATTTTAATTAATATTATGATAATAATTAATATTTAAGTCATAAATATCGAAAAATTACATATAAATTGTTATGTCCTAATTTATTTCATAATCTTTTTCTTCAAAATTAAAAAAAATATCATTGTTACGTTTTCAATATATAATATTGAATCTAATTTCAATTATATCAGAAGATAAAAATTAATCGTATAACTTACCCTTCAGTATTAAACTAAGTAAAGGAAGGAGCTGCGTCCGGAGAGGAAGCAAAATGAACTTAACATATCTGCTAGTGACTGGCCGTTGCATTTATACAACAGATCGGTCCAATTTTAAGGAGAGGGAAGGATCTGTAGGATTCTAAGAATAGAGCAAGTATTAAAAAAATGAAAGTGAAAGTGACCTCGGATATAGGACCGGAACCTATTGGAGAGACGAAATCGTTGTAAGGAAGATGAAGAGAAACAAACTTTCCTTTACGCAACTTGATGCTCAGCACATGCGTCATCGACCTCTTACATGGATATTTTAATTTCATTTTGTCTTTCATCTACCACCGACTAAGCCAATCGTCCAGTTTATTTCTAAATTTTTAAATTTCTTGAGTCTAGGACAAAAGAGCTAATAAAACGAATTCGATCGCTATTTTCATTTTTATTTTTATCGAAAATATCAAGTGAAGAACAAATAAGTAAAATTCTAGTATTTGCAAATAAATCGTAAGTTTTCGATCGAAGAAAAATCAATGCGTTCAAAAGAATGTATTCTATTTTCATTGTACATTAATAAGTGTACCTATAGATTCTTATTTAAATAAACTTCGCTAATTTTAATCAAGTACACTGTCACGTCATACATTTTACTAAAAATAAATAAATTAGTAAACCCACTTCAATACATTCTCACACTTTTGGGAGATAAATAACATTTACGTCACCGTTTATTTTCATTACACCGTTCGAGCAACAAATAAATAATCCAAACATATAAATAAATAAAATTGAGAACTGTTCGTCGATCGTGTTATTTTCGCAAAAAAATATTCGATATCGAAAAGTGATTGTTCCTTTAATGCTTAAGTCACTTTTTTCATACTACAGGAACGATCAATCTTAACTATTCTTTAACTATTCTTTGCAATAAAAAATATCACGAACGCAGTATATATCCTGTTACAAAAACTGCTTTCCTTCTATTATGAAAAATCGCACAATACTACTTATATCGCAGATGCATACAGATAACGGTTACCGTAACAATGTCAACGGTAATAGTAATAATCGTCATCCTATCATAGATCGAATGTTTGTTCTTTTAAGGAATCAACGTAAAGGTATTCAGCAATTCTACGTAAAGAACAAATATTCTTTCAAAGTTTTCTAGCGTGCACGAGTTTGTCAATGTCCTGATAGGTCGCCAGCATGGCCTGATTTTGCCTCAGATTTTGATCCTCTCTGGCGGTAGGACAATTAGCGTAAACGTCTTCGCAATTGATACCATCTTGACCATCCTTGGCTGCCTTCATGTACCGGAAAAATCTCAAGACATCCGGATTATCACTAGCAGGTTTCCTCAGCTCGTTTAATTCTCTTGAGAGTTGAGCAGAAACGAGATTAGAATACGGAGCGTATCGTGCTGGACTTCGATACATTGCACAGACTGCATACTCTCTACAGCCCTCACTAGTGTGCCCAAGTCGATAGAAAACAGCATCCAATCGCGAGAGTAGAGGTGAGTAGAACGGGTCGTAGTTCGTCAGGAGCAACGAGCTCGTTGGAATCTCGTGGAAGATCTATCGACATACATGTCGGAAAATTAAGTTTTACGTGCCAATATAGATGAGTATGCAAAAAAAGTGAAAAAGTAATTTTCATAATTCAAATTGAAGTAAAAAGAAAACAAGCATTAAAAGAGGATCATTAATGTCCTGTAAAAGTAGAACACACGTCACATGTGTCCGATCCACGCTTAATCAATACATATACTTAATTTTTAGCTATATAAGGAAGAACCGGATGTACCGGCACATCAATTCGAGTTCTTGGACATTACATTGATTGGATATTACTGACGCAAACAGATCACGGATTAATGTGCTAATGAAATGATAATGAGTAACGATGTATAAAGTGAGTTTAACGGGAACCGGCGTAACCATTACGATTTGATTGACATCTTTCTAAACATAGAGCACTTGCTCATAAATTTTACGACAACTGTTTATTTTGATTACAATTTTATCGAACAGAAATATGATATTGTTCTAATTTAACTATTAGATTTACTTTTTAAGAAACATCTAATTTACATCTTGGTTTAAAGAAAGTGTGATTGATGAATTTCATAATCTATTCTGTACTCGCGAAAAAAAATCTATCACTTGCCTTGAAATCTTGTTTCTTCGTGAAGCCTTGCGCCGCATGTCTCATATAATATCGATCGGAAATCGTATTAGCATGAGTATATGCTGGATCAACGTAGGAATATCTAGAAGAAATCTCTGGGCTTTTCTGTGACTGCATCATATTCTCATCGTATAATGTAGAAGCTGGCAATGTTCCGACTGGCTGTCGCGTCAAATAATCGTCATTGTAAAGATCTAAGTTGTCCTTGAACTCAAAGTTTTCTTCAGGAGCAGCCGTTACAGTTTGGGAAGATTGTGCGAAGGATGATACACCTATGAAAATTTCAGTATATAAATTTGGTGTTATTTCAGCATATAAAAATGGCTTTCGAATCATTTGCTTATTCAAATATAATAGCAAATAGAAGTAGAAAATGTTTACAATTAAATTTATTTGAATTAATTTTTTCTTTATTATCTATTTTATATATATATATATATATATATATATATATATATATATATAAATTTCGGAAGGTCTAATTATCTCATTATTTCAAAAAATATTGATATATTAGAAAAATGTTTCAAACAAACAGAGTAGGATTAAAAAAATTGATTAGCTGATAATATTTATTTGTCTTTGTAATGACCTTGAAAAGCCCAATCAAGGTCAACACAAAAATCTTAAATCGAAACCCCCATTTTTTATATAATATTCTTGTAACTGTAGTCCTTAACCAGGATTTTCAAGATTATTCCAAAATCAAATAAATATCATCAGTTAATAAATTTTGTAAACGTTACTTTTTTGGTTTAAAATATTGTTCCAATATATCAATATTTTCTAAGATAATTGACCATTCCAAAACTTTTGCCTTTCACTGTTTATATTATATTTGTATATATTTATATTTCACTGTTTACATTATAATATACTTTAAAATTTTAAATAATACAAAATTAGGATATCGAAAATATCGCTAATTATTATATATATACCATTGCCAAAAACTATATTAATTTACTCTATTTAATTATAAAAATTACCTTTGCCAACGATATTACCGATACTCCCGATGATACTTGGTAAAAAGAGAGCAAGTAAGACGCTCTTAATAATCTGTATGCCAAAGAACAACGGTAGCAAGAGCTTCTTCAGGCCGAACGCTAGAAAACCAAGTCCGAATCCTGTTAAAAAGGTACTCTTTCCCTGAAAGAGGGCTGAAAGCAAAAGTACCAGCCGATTAAAGCCTGCCCAATTAGTCCTATAAGCCATGCCACGGTAAATGTTGGATTTTCTTTCATCCTTCTCCCCTTTTTCTTTTTTCTTTCTCTCCTTCCCCCCTGACGTGGAATTACTGAAAAATTTGTTTTAAACCTTCTCGCCAATTGTTAACAAATACCCTTTTGCCCAATTTCGCCTTCTAAAAAGCCAATCAGTATTAAGATAGCTCTGATGTGCCCCGCGCATACAATTTCAATTTCGTACAAGAGTCATTTAGACATCGTGCACCGAGAAACATTCTTAAGCTGAAATTCTTCACCCTTGCTCCGTGCTAATATACATTCCAACTTAGTCAAACAGTTAAGAGTATTCGACAGCGTTTTAGAACACATTTTTACGATCTAAATGACCTCTTTCTCTCTCTCTCTCTCTCTCTCTCTTTCTCTCTCTCTCTCTCTCTCTCTCTTTCTCTCTCTCTCTCTTTCTCTCTCTCTTTTTTTTTCTTCACAGACAAACATATACACACGCGCGTGTCACACTCACCATCGAAGAAAGTTCTTCCTTTTCTGCCGGTGATCGTATTGGGATCGATCTTGATCCTAACCACGTGTTCTTTCGCATATCGATGAAGCTCGTCAAGAAGATCAGACCTCCTTTCGAACTCCTTTTCAAATTCCCTCTTAGTCTTCGGTTTGTTGTTGGTTTCACTTCGTATTATCTGCACGGAATCCGTAACATTATACTCGTCGACCTTGTACAGTTCGTCCAAAAGATTCGAAAGTTTCTCGCCTACACAAAGATCTTGCTCGCACGAAGAAGACTCTTCTTCGTCTATCGAACTCCTCGTCGAGTTCTCCGTGTTGGAAGACTCAATCTGATAGCTTGATTTATCATCGATCATCGTCACATGATTAATATCTATATCAAACTTACTCGGTTTGCCACTCACTCTATGAGGGTGATCGTCCGTGCTTATATCGAATACTTCGTTCTCCGAATTTGTTAAGGTCTCGTTCACATTCAAGGACGAGGACTGTACAGTATTGAGCTTTACTTCGTTCGCCATTGTTAGGATCACGAGGACCCACGCTATCGTCATCATCTTATACCTTCTTCTTCCTACGGACATCCTTCTATAAACGTCTTTTTCTTTTCTTCCCAATTTCTGTTTAGCTGTGTAATGATACTTTTCGCGACTCTTTATATATACCTCCTCCTCTAACTACATTCCCAGCTAGCTGATTCTTTTATTACCATATAATAACTGCATCTCCCTCGGGCTCGCCAACGTTTCGCTTTCTTGGAAATAAACAAAAAATAATTACTGTAATCGTCAGCTTTCAAAGAATATTCAACTTGTATAATTATTAACATATTCAAATAAGTATAAAGTGATATCATCGAAATATTCTATTTATCGTTATATAATACATAATTGTATATAGTTATTGTATCAATCAAGATAGCTTATTGTATCAATCAAGATAGATACTTCTGATTGAGAATTGTATCAGTAGATATGTATTTAATATCAAGTTTAAATCGCAAATTAAAATAATTCATTTAGACAACGTACTCACTCTTACTTCTTGCACGTGTCATCAACACTGTGTCTTCTTGCATGAAACGTGAGCGAATGGCAAGCTCCCTGTTTGCACTGATCCTGTGGTATATCTCCAAAAAGAACGATAAAAACTTAAAATAGAGTTCAAGTAAAAAAGGAATCTTCAAAAAGTTGGAATCACGTTCGACGGCCGCGACGGTACTGGCTGACGGTCTCTGTTGGATCGGCTGAACTGAACCGATCTGGGTTACCCGGCCATCCGTCCATTCGTCCCTCGCCACGGACTGTCGTTCCTTTCCACCTTCCTTCGTTCGTTACTTCCTTCGCTTCTTTCCTACTCTTTTTCCTTTCCATTCTTTCCATTTCCATCCTTTCTTTACTCACGTATGCTTCATAAAAGACCGATCGATCAATTCCTTCTTGTTTCTTCTATGTGCCAAGATAAAATCGAAAATAGTAAAAGATAGACAATTTTCATCTATTCCAAGATTAGATAAAAAGCGATAAAGATAAAAAATTTCACATTTACATTCTTTCGTTACGTAAACAGAGTAATATTTGTAAAACATTATCCTTTTTTTACCTCTATATAACCCAATTTTGTTCATGTCTAAAAAAGTTATATAATTTAACTTATACTAATACATATAATAGACAATTAATGTTGAGAAAAAATAAAATAAAACTAAAACAAACAGATCTATAAGAATATACATTTAAAGTCATTCTATTCATGAGACATGAAGCACAAACGTGAATTACGATCATGAACTACGACTCGCATGAACATATTATCGTGAAGATTGCCTGTGACGTCAATACTTCCATAACTCAGTAGCAAGTGTGAAACAGGATATTTACACAGTGTGTATTAAAATTGAACGAGTATGATACTTTTCAATTGTTTTCACTGTCATGAATTAAAAATTCCTTGTGAATAGTTTACGCTTTCCATTAACATAAGCGTAAAAAAAAATAAAGTTAACACAACAACGTGATTCATGTTTGTGACTCCCTCCTCAAGGAAACACTGCATTATATAGAAAATTAATTTATGTTTGTTTCTATTTTAGTCAATCAAGCAATTGTCATGAAAGCAAGCATATCATCATCCATCTTACTCATCTTTTTTCTCTTTGGAACATCTACTCGATCTATCGATATTTACCAAAGAAAAGAAAAGAAGAGAAATACAAATAGAAAATCAATGAAATAATAGCAAGTCTTACAATATAAATAGATCTTTTCCCAAAATAAATCTTTTATCAAAGCAGAAGCCACATGAACAATAAGCCGTTATGTTAATGCGGCTTTTTTGTTGAACTATAACACAGATAGATGGTAACGGTCGACTTGCGTGAACGAGCTCGGATCACGTATCAACATGTATGCGACTTCCGATTCCCCGCCAATTTGCCAGAGACTCAATCATCGTCATTAACTATCGTTCTGTGTCGTGGTAACGAAGTTGAACGAAGAAAATATGAGGAGAAGGTAAACGACAGCAAGAGAAAGGGAGTATTCATTCGATCATGGAAACGATTGAAGAAAGAAGGCAAATCGCTTCGAGAAGTCATATAGGAGCGTACATTGCAAGGTATAATCGTAAAGACTCAGAGCCGACAAGCAAGAACGATAGAGACACAGAGAGCGATAACGGTGTTTCGATCGGTGATGCGTTGGTTCACGCATGCTTTCGAACGAACCGCTCGAGCGAGTTTATCAAGACGAAGGTAAAAGAGGTGAAGAGAAAAAACAACTAAAGAGGAGAGGAGAAAGGTAGAAGGGAGCAGTATTGAGTGTATATCCAAATCTGTCAGTAGGTCACTCGGCACCAGGGGCCAACATACCTCTTGCCCACATTGTCGACCTTGACCATCGACTTCAAAACTACACATTGTTATCGAAACTACACAAATCGCTCTCGCTTCTTCATATACAACCAATACTTTATCTTTTTCAGTTGACTGTCTTTTTTTAAATTTAGTTAAATATGAAAAACTTCACCTATAACATTTTAATAGAAATCCGTAGTATCTGCAAGTCCGATTGGTAACGGTACTAGCCGAGAAAGTTACTTTTTTACGTATTATCATCACGTCGACCCGCTTAACGAAAAAATAGAATTCAATGATGAAGAATGACCGTTCTTATCTTTTTCATTCTTCTCGTATATATATAGGATAATACAGAAAATTATACTTCTTGGAAGGAATTACAAGTCAGTGATATAAATAAACATTTTATATAGATTGTACATTCTATGTATAAAAAATATATTTAACAGTTTCAACAGTGGCACCGAACATATTTGATCGTAGAGATTGTTTTCTAACATAAGATCTTCACATTTTATTAAAAATGCAGTTATCTCGTTGCTGAAGTTCATCCGTAAGGATTGCGATATCCATGATAGGCTGGATAAGCCAGATGACCTTGAATATCATTCCTATGTGCCCAACCAGTGTCTTCGTGACCGTATCCTGAAAACGAATATATGATTAGATGTGATCAAGATGAAACTCAATAGATCGATTTTCAAATATCGATAGTTGATCCAATTACAGAACCTATTTCGAATTTGGAAAAGTTGCTCATCAAATTCATTCGTGTCATTAGATAGTCTTTAATTAGAAACATTACATTACATTAGAATACATTAAACGCGTCCGATGCTTGATGTCACAGATGAGATTTGCACCTACTTAGGCACTGTACGCTAACAACTTCTTTTTTACGCCTAGTTTAACTCGTCGAATGTATAATAAAACGATGCCAAAAAAAATACTATCCAAGAGGTCACCGTAAATTTATATTTTATTGAACGAAATAACGATTAAATAATGCCATCATAAGTAGTGGAAGTTAAAATATTAAAAATAAATAGCAGTAACGTTATGTTCTAGGTGCAATGTGAATACTTGACGTTCTCAAATAGAAGAAAATTTTATCAAAAAATATGAAGCAAAAATAATTTAACTATCTTATGCCAAGAACATTGCAGTTGTTTTAACACTTTTGTTGTTTCATAGATATCAATTACAATCGTTGGATGAATTATTTTACAATCTCGATGGCTTGAGAAACGATACAAATGATGTTTCTTTCAAATGATAAAAAAAAATGAAAATTACGAGAGAGGAAACACCATCGTTTTATTTTAAAGATCGTGTAAAAAAAGATTAGTACAGTCATCGACATAGAGATCTTTTCGTTTTTACTTTTAAAAGATCTTACGTCTTAAATGGAAGTAAAAAGTAATTAGTTTTTTATTAAATACTTTGAAAAATGTTACCTCTATAAAGATATGCTTATTAGCTATATACTTATTCTTGAATTTACTTGTAAATGCTACATATATACTATACGTAAAATTAATTACCAGTCGGATAATCAACCGGTGCTTCAGCAGCAGTGGCCCACGTGTGATAAGAATATACTGGATGTGTTGGAACTTTGCAAACCTTAAGATGCGCCAAAATAGATGGTGCGATCAGAGAACCTAAAACGAGGAGTTTTTTGATGAAGTGAACGCCTAAGAAGATTGGAAGCAGCAGCAACTTTAATTTGAAGAGATTCAACAATATAAGGAGCGGCAAGATCAATGACTTCTTTTTCTTAAAGATACGCCAATCGCCTGAAAAGATGAAAGATACATTAAAATCGAGAGCTGTTCATTACTTCCTGAACGATGTTGAATGATTCAAATAATTATGATAATTAATTTGAACGGAATACGAGCCAATTTGGATTCAGTGTATTATTACATAAAATGTACAGTTCAGTGGCTCGCGGTAAAATAACCTCACTATTTTACCGATTATAGAAAAGTAACCTGCAAAAATCCGCTATTCCGGATCTGCTATTCGGACGAACAATCAGATTTGAAATTATCGAAGTAAACAATTTAACGATTTCATGTAAGTAACTCAATTCGACAATGGCTACTATTTTAACTAACACAAATGAGACTCTACCAATGATTAAATATGCTTTTTTAGATGAAACTTACCCTCAGCCTCTTTTCTCCCTTGTATCTCTTGTAATTCATCTTCGTCCATTATCATCGGCCCACTAGTAAAACTTCTGCCATTCGTAGGATTCTCGATCGTATAAACGACCACACGTTTCGTCAACAAATCGTTGACATTCTCTCTGAGAAAATCTAGAGTGTCAAATATGTTTCTTTTGAAAGCTCGAGAACGAGGTAATTTCGGCAGTAAAGATTCCTGCTGCATCGATGATATCCTTATGATTCGAAATGGTCCATAGGTGAACTCCTAATATCGTAGAAAAATAATTGTAAGAAATATCTATAATTCGGTCAATCGATCAGAAAGATTTAAATAATAAATGCTGCAAGATCATGATTTTATCATAAAAATTTCTGAAAGCATTTCCAGATAGAATCGATTACGCAGAAAGGTTAACACATCGCGACGTTATCACGTGAGAAATCAAGATTACCAAAATTGTAAGTTCTACAATAAAATTTCGTAATCAGAGATTGAGATCCACGCGAACAGATCGTCATCTTGTTAAATGACTTTTTCCTTTCTAGAATCTTACCTTTTCTTTGACAAGTTCGTTCAACCATCTGGCTACTTTGTACTTCCCACAGCTTGCAAAATCTCGCTGAAGGCTGCAGTCAAGCCGGCATCTTTCCAAAAACGTGTTCGAAGAATTAAGGTACGTCGCGGCACAGATCTCCGTGAAAAAAAGGAATAGAAAAAAAATCAGAAGAGACCTGGAGAGTGTCGAATAACAACAATCGGTGCTTGCTTCTTCTGTCAACATTATCGTTATCTTTGTCTATGGCCAAATTTCTTCTGAATAATCACAATCAACTGTTACTTCGATTGACACATGGAACACAGAATCGTCTCATCGCGAATTGCTCCTAAATTCCACTTTTATGTAGAGCTAATTTATTATCCTTGATTAAATTACAAATTCAAGAAATAAAACCGGACACGTCGAATCCGTTAAAACACACACAATTCCAATTAAATCCAATGGAATAATGTTACCGAGGTAAAGCAGAATGCGAGATAAAGCGCACAAGTTTACTGACAGTGCTTAGAAGGTGTCTTGACCATTTATACGTCGAGCATTTAGGTCGGTGGGGGTAACGGTCCACGACTTAGATAATGCTACATCAAGATTACGCCCAGAAGCGGCCGTCATTGCATCTCTAGATGCGCCATTGCACGGATACGTAGATATAGCAGATACGTAGATCGGTGTCACACGATCTATTCATCTTTCAAAAACTAACAGAATACGTCGATTTTCATTGATATCAGAATAATGAAGTACTAAAAATCATTAACAAACTGTGTTGCAAATCTAAAATTCCAATATCACAAAATCCAATCTTACAAAAAAGATTCAAAACATAATTATTTCAACAATGTAAGTTAGCTTACGACAGAGATAATAAAATAATAATTTAATTTCTGTTGAAAATTATTTATTTACATAGTGCAATTTAGTTCGTGACAAAAATAACGAAGCGAAGTGTTACGCGAGAACGAGAAAGATATTTTTTCACAATGAAAATTCCTGCGTAACGGTAAGCGTTGTCTGCGCGACCACCGAAGGGAGTCTCGACGATTACCGGATAATCAGAATTCATCAAAAAGAAAAACTACAAAAAGAAACACAAGGCGGACTGTATGAATTTATCATAAATATACCTGTATGACGCGTCCCATTTCATTATATTAAGCTGCTGGAAAATCGTTGTTGATTATCCTCGCCGAATGTTCTCCCGGATGTAATTACATGGAAACAATTACGAATCTTTCTTATCTTAGAAACTGTATTTTCGACATTAAACGAGACTTCACGAATCTTTTATTTGAATGATCATTAAATTTGAAATCGAATCTAATTCTGCATCGACCTAAAGACGTCATAAATTGTCGAATCGAATATTTTTCAAATTAATAGAAAAAATTATCACGTCAGAAGTGACGACATAGATTAATAATCACCAATCAACCTCTTTCGAAGAAACCGGTTTATAATATACTTCCAATCACTCAGCGTAAGCCATAATACTTCAATAACTTTGTATTAGCTTTCTTTTGTTTTTGATACACATACTGCTACATTTGATCAATATCTTTTATATCTTTTTTATTTTTTGAAAACTCGTTCTACTATGATAAATGTTTGATGTAAAACTATTTTGTAGTACGTTCACTTCATTTCCGTTTATAACAGATATCAAATATAAAACGACTATTATTCGAACAAATTTTAGAGAACACTCGGCCGAGTTTGTCTTGGAAATTTGAAGAAGTCCTGTCTTAAAACAGCCTTAGTGAATTCATTTAGTCCAGTATTTTAAGAGCAAGCAATCAGTATTAATATAGTTCTTCAGAAATCTTGTAAAGAAGATTATATGGAGCTGATGATAAAAATGAATTTACAGGAAAAAATTACAGAAATTATTATATTAAATGTATTACACGAAATATTAAAGTATACAATCAATATTACGTATACATCTACTTTCGGTAAAATTTATCAGATTCTTAGCCATAAATTCCTAAGAAATGGAACTTCATCATATTAAATACTTTGCAATCATCTCCAAAAGATCTCGATTCTAGAAACAGTGATCGAAATAGATTTGCATGGAACTATTGATCGTTAACAGGGCTCGCATATCTAATCAGATTCATTAAATCCTTTCCGCTATCGATGTGTTATTGACAAAAAAGAAAAGCATTATAAGAAGACATAAAATTAATGAGTTCACACACATATTTTTTCAAATTCTAGAATGACGAGATAAAAAATAAATACCGGTCAATCTGTGCTCGGCAGGATAAATCTTTGAACACATAAACATATATATATACACATATTACATACTTACGTGCTCGCGATATAACCTGTTTACCCCTTTTTCATTGACCCAGATAAATTGTCGTGCCGTTCTTCATTGTTGCAAAATATGCATCTGTTCAAGATCATATTAATATGAGAGTACTCTGAATCACAAACAAGAAATCAGTGATCAATTCAAAAATTCATAAAGATTTCCATAATGTTCGAATAGATCAATTAAAAAATATTAAGATAATACTAAATATACTAAACATTACGTTAGAAGAAAAACTCGATTGATGGATCGATAACTAAAAAGTTAGATTGATCCACAAACATTACTCATTACAATCTCCGAACTCATTTCAGCATCTTTTCACCAATTGGTAGGAATCAAGTCGTTTATTCGAATTGAAAATTATGAAAAAACGCGTGTAAATCTCTAATTATATAATCGTTGTAAAAGATAATTAAGAAAGACTCAAGAATTGAAGCGAGAGTCGATAAGATATTATTCGATGTTATTTGTTCATTTACTTTATTTCATTCTTATCGATACTAAAATAATGCTGAAGAAAATAGCTGGGCAGACTTTCATCATATCTGGAGCACTTTTTTATGATTAATAATTATTGCAATTAGATTTAAGAATTTTTGTTACATTTACAAGCTTCTAAATGCATCTGTATTGCGTTATGTCTCCACTGATATCAACATCCTGGTATACTTATGACTGGATGGTGTAGAACGATTAAAAAATACCTCGTACCTGATAAAAACGTTTATGTCTGGTGCAAATATCTCTTCGTCTCTTATTCTTTTCGCTGAACTTATAAACACGCATTCCGATAGTCTAGATCAGTGCACGGAGTGCCAATGTTAAAACCTATTAAAAGGAAAGACACGTCGTGCTTTGTGAAAGTTATTCTCCTTATTTAAAAGGTCTTATCGTATCGATATTTTTAATGTAACGTGTCAAAGAACAGATACATCAGAAACGTGAACTCCTTTCAATGGTATTCTTAACACTATAACTTGTCCTTTCAAAAAGAATTGCAATGAATGATTGTTTCAAAGATCTTTCAGTGCCGAGAAAGCATGTAGTTATCTGATAATGAACCGATTTCGCCTGTCTTGTCTTTTACTCTTTTTAAGAACTAACGGTTTCACATTCGAACTTCATCTTCTTTTTTTATAAATATAAATTTCGCATGAAAAAGTGGTTCTTGAACTTCTTTAACTTTTGACACCTTTACATCTACTTACTTGTTAGCCTATATTTAGAAATTCCCTGTAATATTTTAAATTCGATACTCAAAATATTTTAAAATTCAAACTTGTTTATGGACTAACATTTTTATAAGAAATTATAAATATTATCTTACTCTACGATAAATGACTTCTTTCGTGCTAATCCTATAAAATTTCTACCGCTTTCCTACCATTAAAGATTGAACAAATTGGCAGGACATAAATTTTTCTCTCAATAAAATGAAACAAGATAGCGACGAAGAATTTCAACGACAACGAGCAAATTTTACCTGGAAGTAAACATGATTCTAACAAGATTCTTCTTAATGGAACACGCTTTGTCGTGTTTCTACTGTATAATTATGCATAAAAAAGAGTTGAAGCAAAATCGAACAAAGAAATGATCGCATACGAATTATTATTATTTGGATGAAAGTATACAAATAGTCATGATAGGAAAGAAGTAGACTGTTCGATTTTTCAGTTTAGATATAGCAAAGTAGTATTGTATTATTCATATTGAGACAAAGCATTTAAGATGACATTTTATCTATTTAAAACTTTATCTATTTATTGTACATCACCCATTAAAAAGAATCATCCCGTTAGAAGATTTATTTCTCTCTTAACATTACATTTTATATATTCCTTCGTTAGACAATTATTGCAACAATTATTATTTTTCGTTGGGTAACTTTAAACAGAGCTACATCTAGAAAGTAAGGCAATGTACTGTTTAACACAAATTATCCGTTAATCTTATTCGTATTTGCTAAAGAGACTCATGTCTTCTTCATTCATAATTATTTTTCATTTAACATTCTTATTCATTGTTGCATAAATATTCGCTATGAACAAGTATTGGAAAATATTGCCATATCTCGGCAGTGTTATTACTTGGAAAAGTCTTGTCAGGACTCGCGACGTGTACATACATAAATACTTCATTAAAAAAAGATTTTCAATTCAATATCAGCCCGTGTTATGAAGTGTAAATCTTGGACCTATATTATAAGTGGAAAGTTCGATGGAATCCGTTCTTAGTCAGACAAGTTGTATTAGCACTTACAGTTAAGTGTGTTGTGACTTTCCTACACAAATTTTCTTGTTCTTTTCTTTCTTGAAAATCACAAGTATGTTTGACAAGTTTTTTGTATAATGTAAGTATGTAAGATTTTTAAAAATGAGAAAAAGAAGTAATACAAATCGCGACATTATTGAATGCATCGATAACACTAAAGTATTAAATAAAAAAAAAATTTGCACAATTAATTATTATATGTATAGAGAGAATGATTAGTTAATAATCAAAGACAAAACTTAAAATCTCTCAAGTTTACATTAGTAAATTTTAATTAAACTGTGATATTCAGAGATTGTTGCTAAAAATTCTAATTACAGTTTTCTATTTGAGGTCAACTTCATTTCATCATGGTATACTTTACATTTATATAAAAATTTTATCCGTTCGCCAATATTATGAGATAGTTCATATTCTTTGATAAATTTACCAAAGTGTTTTAATTGCATTAATCATAAGCGTTTACAATTCTGCGTATACTTCAACGATCTCGTGACTTTCAACATTGTTAACATTGTCATAAATCTCGCTCTAACATTCACAAATGTTACGATACAATCAGATTTTAAAATTGGCCAAAAAATTTAGACCTACTTCACAAATAGCTATAAATATCTTCTTTTTTAAAAACACTTAAGCCCGATCAATGACCTCGCTCGTAGTTATTACCAGATAGTCGAAAAGATAATATACGGAATTTTATTTGGAATTTTATAATCTTTTTTGATACAACTTTTTTGATCGCCTAAGATATCAAAAGAGGTCATCAATGATTTTAGATGAACTCCAAAAAGCTTCGTTGTGAAAAAGATAAAATTTCATATTTCATTGAAAAAGCCTAAAAACACTCAGAAAAAATGATTTTAAATCGAATATATCGACTCTCGGAGCGCTACCATCTCGCGGAATCACGACAAAACGCGTTTCATGTGTGCGCTGATTTGCGCACGCGTCCACATCTTATCGATGAGGAATGCCTGGCTCCAGGAGAGAGAAAGAAAAAAAAAAGGAGAGGGAAGCATGAGTGGACTCGGGTAGTAATCGAGAGTGGAATAGCGAGAGGAAGAACGGGGGTTGGAAGGAAGACAGCAGGACGAGAGAAGTATTCCAGTCGGTGGTCAACCGTGTTCGATTAAATAAGTAACGTCTGTTTTGTTCGGCTTTATGACACGTTTAATATATTCTTTCTTTAAAGACACCAAAGTCAAAAACAGACACTACCAAAAGACAGCTTCTAACTTATTTCTTATTTTTTAAATGTAAAAAACAAATAGGTGTTAAGAGAGAAAGAGAGAGAGAGAGAGAGAGAGAGAGAGAAAGAGGAAATCCGTAGTGTAGTGGGAATAACAGTATCGAAACAGGTAGAGCAAGAGGTACGGCAAGGAATAATCAAAATGTCGAGCGAAAAGAGAATCGACATTGAAAAACCATACTGGGATCAAAGTACTTATCGTGGAAGGGCTTTACACTTTCTGACAGTCACTAATCCTTTGAATCTTTTCGCATCTAACAAAGCGCTCGAGCGTGCTCGAAATATCGTCACGAGATACAGGTAATCTTTTATATGATTTTTTAATCTTTTATTTAATTTTAGAAGGATTTAAATATAATGAATTATCTGTGTTGATTTAGCTTGACTTTGTGTTTATTTTTAATATTTAATATGGATTTATCCCATAAAATAGGAACGGAGAGACTCTCGCGGAACTAAGTATCAACGAAGAAGAGCTATGGAAACAAAAATATTTGTTCGACAGCGCTTATCACCCGGACACTGGTGAAAAAATGATATTAATTGGTCGTATGAGCGCCCAAGTGCCGATGAACATGACTATAACTGGTTTGATGATGACATTCTACAAGTACATATGCATATGAATCTGTGAAACGGTTTAGAAAATACACAAGAGATTTTCACTTGACGTTTGGTCAATAACGCGACAGTTCGAAAGTAGCGATAAGATTTATTACGACTTTTGACCTGTTTCCTTTCCGTTGTCGGTCATTATATGTAAATAGAGAATATATAAGCGAAGAATGAAACGAATCGATTGGTTATCAGCAGAAGTATTTCACATCACGATGGACAATAAAGATATTTTCTTTTCATTACATAAATTTCGTCAAATAAATTTCGTTAAATAAATTTCGTTAAATAACTTTACTCTGGGTCATTAGGTGAAATTATTTTTTATTCAACAGATCAACACCAGCCGTAATATTCTGGCAATGGTTCAACCAATCCTTCAATGCGATAGTAAACTATACGAATCGCAGTGGTAAGTCTCCAATTCCAAAAGAAACATTAATTCAAAGTTATATCAGCGCGACTGGAGGGGCAGTGATAACGGCCCTAAGTCTGAACAGACTCGCACGACGTGGCCCGGCCTTGGCCGGTCGTCTGGTTCCTTTGGCCGCTGTGGCTGCCGCAAATTGCGTTAACATTCCATTAATGAGAATTACCGAACTTCAGAATGGTATCGAGTTACAGAATGAATCCGGCATAGAAGTCGGCAAAAGCAAGTCAACGGCTCAAAAAGCGATCGCAACCGTCACGTTATCGCGTATTCTTATGGCTTCGCCCAGTATGAGTACGATGATAGATAAATATATTTATAATCTAGTCATGACAAATTTAAACTTACAGAATAATAATCAGATATATATAAAGATAATCATTTTATTATTTATTACAGTAATCTCACCAATCATAATGAACTACATAGAGAAACAAAATCTATTACAAAAAGTTAAATGGGCTTCTGCACCGATTCAAGTCATTATTTGTGGAATTTGTTTAACGTTTGCGACACCACTCTGTTGTGCTCTTTTCATTCAACGAGTACCGATCAGTGTGGACAAACTGGAACTCGTAGTACAAAAAAAGATACGATCTCAAGATCCTGCCATTCAAACAGTCTACTATAATAAAGGCTTATAAACGAACACGTCTGTAATTAGGAATTCAACGAACCGCTACGGATGGAAACACAACGTCTTAATTAAAGATACATCAAGCCACAAGTAATACAAAAATACATTATAGATTAAATAACTAATTATTAGCCGACTCTGGAAGTGAAAAAATTATACAGAAGTTTATACCGTCACTTATGTATATACTATTCAAAATTCGAATTATTCAAGTTCAAAAAAATAACAAAGACAATAAAGAGAAGACTTCAATAAATATAAGAGGAGTTTTTATTATTCGAATGTGTATATATACACACACACACACATATATATACATATATATATATATATACACATACATATATATATATATATATCATAAAATTAATATAAATCTAAAGAATTAATTAAGACCAGGTATATTACAAACAATAATTGTATATTTTGGAAGAAATTCACCGTTGGCGCCTAACTGTCTAAGACGCTTTGGTGGTTTTATTTTCCTTCCAAATCTGCCAGTTTTTCGTTGCCAAAGACCACTTCTTGGACGATTACCCAATTCGCGATTTTTTTGAGCGCTACCGATTGGTGTGGAACCATGTAAAATATTCGACAAACGTCCTACCGTTGCCATACATCTATTGTCCAAACTAAACTTTCTCTTACTAGGTACTTGCACAACTGTCCTATCCAGTCCATCCGTGGCAATTATCGTACCTGAGGTCCCAGCCGAATGAATAAGACTTCCTCCAAGTCCGGGATACTTTTCAACGCAGTTCACGATAGTACCCATCGGTAGAGCACCCAAGGGATAAGCATCGCCCTCATTTGCCCTTACAGGATTACGCGGGATACCTTTGTGTGTTTTTATAATATCTCCAGGCTTCATGTTTTCTGTCGCTAAAATATACTTCAATTCGTCACCCGAACCAACGAGTGCGACGAAGGATGTTCTACAACCATCCTTGAAAACCTCGAGTACCTTTTCCTCTTTTGGTTTTTCATTCAGATCAGTCGGACCATCCCTTATCCATTTTATCCAATGGTACTTGTGTTTTATACCACCACCGATACCCTTAACTATTACTCTTCCTATAATTAGAAACAAAAATTCAATAAATAAGAAAAATATCGCTCGAAATGTTTAAATTGCAATTAAAAATTATTTTTATTGTATAATTGATAGAAACATCTAACAGCAATAAAACTTGTTGCATATATTCGTCACTGCATACACAAGAGAAAAACAAATCTATAAGAATATTAAATTTATATATTAGCTATATCTATAAAAAAAATATTTACCTGATACAGGATCTCGACCGGCTAAATTAGTAACCTGCAGTGGTTCGATCGTATATTCATCTTTGAAATGTACAGTTCGCCTGTAACTTGTTCCTGTAACACCTGGTTTTGGAAGTTTAAGTAATTTCCATTGATTTCTTCTAGGTTGTATTTGAAACGATACTGATGTCGGATTAGCCAAAGAATTAAATATTTGTCTTCCGACAATACGTCGCAACAATGTTATGGCAGACATTTTTAAGTACAATTCAACGTATTGCCCTCTAGAGAAAGAATATTAAAGTCGAACCGTATAAAGTCAATTATCCATAGAACAAAACCCATTTTTAATATTAGTCGATAACATAGGGAGCGATAGGAAGTGATATTCGAGAAAGGAGTACTCCAAGAAAGAAGAATTAATGAGTCTATTAATAAATTAGTTTCATATATGATGATATATCTTTATTAAGTTACTTTCTCTCATTACATTAGTTTAAATACCGAGGAAAATATAATCATTACTGTGCTACTTTGTTGGAGATTTCAATTTCTCCGAAAACCGCGTTTAAATCAGAATCAATTTTTCGATCATTCTCCATATTATCTAAAAGTCGGCAGTTCGAATCCATAAAACACGATTCTGCAAATTAATTAAATAACATGACAAAATATAAGCAATATTCTATTTAATTTAAATGTACCTTGCGAACAACAAATTCCACTTGCAGCACATCTTCCTGTATTTTCACGGCACATTGCGTAACCCGCAATGCAAGGATGCGTATAAAGACTTTCTTTTCTACATGTGTAAGTTTCTGATGTGCCGATAAAACAGCCGATAGTAGACCCACAACAAATATGAGGTCCAAAACACTGACCCAATCGATTAGGTCCACAAGAAGGGCACTTACAATTAATTATTGAAAAAAATAATACAATTAACCCACTATAAATTGATACTTTATAAAAGTAAAAACAATTTCTTATAATTCAATTAATAATATTAATTTGATAACTCTGTGAAAACTATATAATACTAAATACTTACTTCTCTAGTAAAACCTTCTAAGGGTACAATATCTCCCCTCTTTCCACCACGGGGGCAATTCGTAATTAAACACGCCGAAGATAAAATAATGAAAGTAGTAAATATAAAAAGTTTCTTCATCATGTTTTCAACTAAATTTCTGGCCAGACTACCTGAACAATCTGCTGGATGTACGAAGACGAACTGCGATAAATCGTCCACACAGCAATGTATTTATATTGTTAAATCTGTAATATTTAGTATTCCGTTGTGCTTTCTACAGATATTTTTACAATAAAGCACTCTACGGATTATGGAGATGAAATCTGCGTACGCATATTCTTATAAAGAATAGTATTCCTTTTACTGATCTCGAGAAAATGTACTTAGACATTCAGCATTGTTCGGAAATAAAACTTCAATCTACAAACATATATTCGCAATAAATCTTTATAAAGAGAAAAAATGATAAAATTTATTTATAAACTTTATTCTCTCTCTTGCTCTCTTTAGAAATATATAACATCAGTATGTCTATCAGATATTACTAATATCTTCGACCTTTATTCTATTAATTAATTTTTTCTTTGGTTTACCTATTTTATTATTCACATGTGTTGCACGTAACTTAGTCTGCTTTAATTTTATTAATCTGTTAAATCTTTTTAGAATTGGAGATTTAAATTTATAGCTAGTTATTAATTTCTGTTGTCTTATTACATATCTTCTCTTGATATCAGCAACTTTATTGTTTATTGTTTCCTCACTAATTAATGATTCTTTACTTTTAACCTTCCTTTTTCTTATCAATAGTTCGCTTGAATTTTCATTAAAATTAATACTAGTACTTGTACTTTTCTTTTTCTTTTTAATTACAATACTATCTTCATTAACATTAATCTTACGTTTCCCAAATTTTTCCAATTTTTCTATTGGTTTATCATTACTAGCTTTGCAATTTTTGTTTGTATGACCTAGGAATAATGTGAATTATTAAATAAAAAAAATACATTGAAACGTAACAATACATACCTAATTTTTTACATTTAAAACAACATCCTGAAATTTTAGGTTTATTATTGCATTTATGTTTCTCTATGAGACACCTTTTACAAGTATTGCAGTGTTTCCAAGATGGTTTAACACAACGCTCACATAAATTGCAATGTTTGTATCTTCTTCCATCTTTAGAAGTACAATCTTTACATTTCTTGCAGTGTTTATTTTCACTAGAAACCCACTTTTGACATTTCTTACAATATTTATAGCCATCAGATACAGGAAGTTTTAATAAACTTAAAGGTATGTTAGTAAATATTCTTATTGGTGATCCATATTTTCTTCCAGTAGAGTCTGTTTTAAAAAGTGGATGATTTTCATAATCTACTTTGTAATCTAACATTTTTAAGTCTCTTAAACCACCAGTAACAGAAGGTGGATTTGATTTTTCCCTCATAATAAATTCCATAAAATACGGAAATATAAACATAATCTTCAAATCATCATTGTTGCCCTCAACTTTGTTTAGCTTCTTATGAAGATCAGAAATCTTCTTTATAGTTTGAGATATAAGTTCTACACGGCCACCAAATGGTGGATCACATATTAAGTATAAATCTTTACCTTTGTTTTGAGTAAGGAAATCTTCGAATACAAGTTGAGCATTTTCATTGAAAAAATAATGATTAAATAAATTGTACCATCCATAACTTAAAGGGCTAAGAAAATTATGCTGAAAAGGAATAATTACTATTACTAAAAGCCACATTATCTCAAGATTAATAGTTTTATAATCTATACTTACAAATCTCCCATCTATATCAAGAAGTAGAGATGACAATTTATCCTCCAAGTTTTGAGAAATATATTCATGTATCCTAGGAGCACCAATGCAAATAACTTGTTTAGCTTTGAGTTCTAATAACATGTTTATTATATCTTTTACAGATTTTTTAGAAAAAAGATATTGAGCTTCCTTTTTGGAATTTTCCAAAGGTTTAAGAACTTCCGTTGGATGATGCATTTGATGATCCGTTAAACCTACCATTGTCAGATGATCATTATGCTTGTTTCTTTCATTCATAAAAATCAGTTTTTCACAATCATGACAATAAGACCGGTTATTTGGACTGGTAGCCAACAACGTATTGAAACGTATAAATAATTTCTGGTGATTGTAGCTTTGAGCAATTTTCTTTTTCTCTTTTTCCCATATATCTTGTTGCAATTTAGTTAATTTTTCTCCGTATTTTAAATAAAATCGACATAATTTTCTGTCACGACAAGCAGAACAAACATAAAATCGTTCCAACGTACCATCAATATATTTTCCGAACAACACAGTTGGGCCTATGCAAATAAAAATTTCGATACATTACGGTTATATAATTAATTTCTAACGATTTTGTTTACAGAACGGCACAATTAAAACATGATTTTGATAATTTCTTTAAATTACCATGTGCACAATGTGGATGTTTATCGTCTCTCCAAAAACATTCGAGATTACGTGTTTTCTCCATTATTAAAATCTAACAAATGAACCTAGTCACAAACCTAGCTAGAAGCTTTATGCTTCACTACATACACAACGATAAAGAATAGAAAGCAAATGCATACATACAGGGTGTAACAGAATAAATGGGAAATACTATATTTTTTAATAGAAATGAACTTTTCCATATAATTTTATTACAAAAAATACTGTTATAGATATTAATTTAATTTACTAAATTAAATATGCAAAAAACATATCAAAATGGTTTCGTATGATAAGTTTAAAAAAAAATTATCTTACGTGTAAAGTTACGTGTTATATAAAAAATTAAAGTACACATTAAATTTTTGATAATATTTATCGAAATTGATGTTGAAGTCACTTGTGCTTTCGAAAGAGTCCAAAGTAACATATAAAAAAATAACATATCATTATCTTACAATGTATAAGAAAAGACATTGGCTACATTCAATAAAACAAATAGCTTACGATTAGTAAGCGTTTTACGAAACGCTGTCAACAGCGTATAAATTCTGAGCAAACTTTTTTAAACTATATGTTTAATGCAAGTGTTTATGTCATGATCAAATGCATGACCCAGATTTTTTGAATAAAAATATGAAGTAACCTGTTGAATAAATCGAGAAGTCCAAAACTCTCCAAAAAGTACTCAATAGTATATTATTTATATTGAATTATTCCAAACGAAAAACATTAATAATGCTATTTATCATATTGAATGAGGACCTTAATCAAAATGAAACTTAAATTAAACTAAATAAACCATACTATTTCTTATTTATTTATCCTTATATTCTATATTCTATATTCTAACAATTATGATCTGCATACGTTCTCTAATACAGAAATTAAATATTCTAAAATATCATTTCTTTTTTCTTAAATTTTATTCTGTTTTTCGTCTACTCTAACATGCTTTTACATAGATTATATAATGCTCTTAATTTAGTTTAGCTTTCTCTTTTAAGTTTTTGAAAGGATGCTGTTTCGATAAAATATCGAGAATAATACTGTAAAATATAAATAAATGCTCTCTAAAATTTCCATTTTGGAATAATATTTTTTTCGTAATTATTATTACTCTCTATGATATATATGCATCAAAATTAAATTTTACACATTTGTTTGTCCAATTAGAAATATATGAATTACTTCCTATAGATTCTTTTATACGCCTTTTGAATTAAAGTTTTCTGTTATTTCCGACTCTGCATTATCAATAAACAAGTATTTATATGTTCGCCTGTTTGGATTAATGTTGATGAAATTGAAACGAAATCTTCCTGATTATTTACAATTAACATTAATGACATTAAATAAATTTTAATTAATTAATATTAATTATTTAAATTTTCATTATTATACGTATATATAATTCTATTTTTCTTTGCTTATATCTTTGATACCTCATTTTTTAACTGAGAAGATCTTATAACGTGTCGTGGATAATAAGCGTACTTCTATTATGTTGCAAAAAATAACGACTGTTAGGCAAACATGTTGGAAAGACATACAGTGATTAGTGATATGCGACCGAAAATCTTACAACTGTTGTAATGTGTGAAAGAATCTAAGTATGATATAAGGAGTAGCAATAACTGTAAGAAAATATTATTGCAAATGAAAATTATAAAAAGCAGTTTTTTATATATTACAGTCTTGTTTCTCATATCCTATAAAAGCAGGATTCTCACAAGAATTTCTGTACGTAGAGAATGAGTATTAGAATATACAGGGTGTCCCATGCAACTAGAACAGGCTATATTTCCTAGACGGTTGAAAATAAAAAAAAATGTTATAGATGAAAATTAAATGGTATCAGATGATCCATAATATGTAAATAATTTTATGCACTTTTGTGCATTGGTGTATTAGAAAAATGTAACTGCACTTTTTTTATGGAAACTTATTTTTAACTGCATCAGTTGATGCAATTTTTATATTCTATATAAATATATCAACATACTTATGCCCTAAACTTATACATTAAGAAGTTATCTTACGCTTATACTTGCACTAAACATATAATTAATAAAAGTACGTTCAGTAAAAGTCGTATTTTGCTAGTAGCGCTTATTAAGCTGCTTTTGATGTAGAACAGCAGCTATTGATGTAGAATAGAGCTTATATAATGCGATGTCTTGCAAAACAACTTTAGTCTCTATTGAAATACTGAACCATTCGATTTTGTGACGTTCCTCACTCATCAAGATGACATCAAACAATACTTTTGATTCAAATTGTATGACTCTTACGAGATTTGTTCTTGACGAACAGCGTAAATTTCCTACGGCAACTGGTGATCTTAGCCAATTGTTAAATAGCATACAAACCGCCGTAAAAGCTGTTAGTTCAGCTGTGAGAAAAGCCGGTATTGCAAATATGTAAGTATTTGATTTTATATTTATAAAAAAACGTCAACGTGAAAATTGAAAAATAGATACGTATCATGTAATAATCGTGAAAAAATGGAAAATTTATAAAATAATTATGAAATTATTACTATTGACTTTTACATTAATTTTTTATAAAACAAATTATATAACTTTGACAGTTAGTTAAGATATGAAATAATCTTTGTTTGAATGGCTTAGTATAAATATTAGTATTTTTCCACATACTTACGTCTATATCGATATCTTCTATTATGCACTTTTAAAGACATCGTAATGAAAAAGATGTTTCGTTTGAAAAATGTTGGAGATTAAAGTTTATCGATGTTTTCGAAGATCGTACTTTTTTCTTCTAAGAAAAAAAAGAAAATTTTAAAGAATCATCTATCTTTAGTGAAACTTTCCGTTTATTTTCACAGGTATGGCATAGCTGGTAATATAAATATTCAAGGCGAAGAGGTAAAAAAATTAGACATTTTAAGTAACGAACTCTTTATTAACATGTTAACGTCTTCGTTCACAACCTGCATTCTCGTCAGTGAAGAAAATAAAAATATGATTGAGGTTGAAACGGAAAAACAGGGTAAATACATCGTGTGCTTCGATCCTTTGGATGGCTCCTCAAATATCGATTGTTTGGTGTCAGTCGGATCGATATTCGGAATTTATAAAAAATTAGATAACACCAATAGTTCCAGTGTTTCTAACGCTCTTCAGCCAGGCCAAAATATAGTTGCTGCTGGTTACGCGCTTTATGGTTCGGCCACTATGATTGTTCTTTCCATCGGACATGGAGTTAACGGATTTATGTACGATCCAGCGATCGGAGAATTCATTTTAACTGAAAAAAATATGCGTATACCAGAGAAAGGAAATATTTACAGGTATGTGATAGTACTATATCTGTATAATTATTTATCGACAACCTAAAAAGAACTTGATCAATAATTATGTTAACTGACAGTATTAACGAAGGAAATGAGAGTACGTGGGATTCAACTATAAAAGATTATATTCATTCCAAAAAATACCCGAGTAACGGTAAACCATATAATTCTCGATACGTTGGTTCAATGGTTGCTGATGTACATAGGACTATTAAATATGGAGGAATTTTCTTGTATCCTTCAACGAAAAACAATCCCAATGGCAAGGTATAACAAATCTGTAGGAGTTTCTAACGAGCTGAATATCAGCAGTATTTTCGAAAACTAATACTAACGAAAATAACGTAATTATATTCGTAGCTACGTCTTTTATATGAGAGCATACCAATGGCTTATATAATAAAAGAAGCAGGAGGTCTCGCATCAAATGGAAAAATCGATATTTTAGATATAATTCCGGAAAATATTCATCAAAGATCACCAGTTTTCTTAGGATCCAAAGATGATGTTCAAGATGTGTTAGAGTTTCTAAAGAAAGCCAAATCATAAAACTTAAATTAAGTTTATATATCGTAATTTGAAATATTTTCAAAATTAAATCTTGAATCAAAATCATTGAATTCAAGAATTTTCATTTGTATCAATAAACGCAATATAAAATTTGGAATTATTTATTGAATAACACAAAGAAAACATGAAAATTATTGTATTGGGAGTAGGTTTCCAAATAAAAAATTTGTGAAATAGATCATATTATGTATACGATATTAGTACGTTATAGCACATAATACATTTTATATATAATTAACTATATACGTATTGTGTAATTCTTATGCTATATATCTGTCTATATATACCAAGCATTCTTATAACATTCTTTTCATTGTCAATCATAATACACATTCATACTGTATGAACTACCATAGAACTCTATAGTAGCAAAGAATGAACTAACATACTAAGAATTTTAACACTGTTGACGAAATAGTGTCTAATCATTAAATTGACACAGGCGAGAACAGTATTCTTAAACACCATCTGTCATTTCACATTTTAGGCTGCATAAACATGTCATTAGCAATATTTTTTTATGCACTGGATTATGTACACAATTTACAAGACGATTTTCTAGCCCGACAATTGCTTCCAAGTGAAACTGCGATCAATACATATTGCAGGAAATTATTGTTACCTTCGAGCTAATATTTCCCACTTTTATTGGCGAACTAATTCTCTCTGTATGAGAGCACATTACAATAAAAAAAAATAAATTTGCAACAAATACACAGTTAGTGAATTTGATTATATACATTTAACAAAATGACATTTTTTAAGCTGGGTATGTAAAACGATAATGGTGTTTATGTAGCTATGTGCAAGAAATTTGTATTTATTGAGGAATTTTTACCATTAGTTTTTCTCCTCTTTCTTCTCTTGAGGTTCTTGTTGACTTTGGTTACTACTGCCGCTGCTGCTTTCTCTTTCTGCCGCCATCTACATCAATCACATTGATTTAGATTAAGCAAATATATGAGACAATTAGAAACAAATACGTGTTGAATATTTCATATTCATATACATGCTTACTTTTTTATATGCCATTTCGAACAATTTCAAACTTGCTTGCTGCAATTCATTGGTTTGTTTCTTAATGTCCTCTGGATCCATATCATCTTTTTTGGCTAATGTTTCCCTTGTCTTGGCAACCAATTCTTTCAACTTATCGCACTAAAAATAAATTAAACATTAAAAATCAGTTGTAAATGCACATATTATTAAATTAATATAATTACTATACCTCGTCTTGTGGAAGTTGTGCCTTGAATTCTTCTAATTTAGATTCCGTATCGTGTATAATTCCTTCGGCTTGATTAACAGCTTCTACTCTATCTTTTTTTATCTTGTCTGCTTTAGCATATTGTTCTGCATTCTTTACCATATTTTCAATTTCGTCTTTGCTTAGACCACCACTGGACTGAATTACAACTAGAAATAACAACCAGAAGATAAAATACTTTTAAATCAACATAATTTTTGACTTACTTTATGTAAATTATATAAATTTACTCAGTTAAAGACTTCCACATATATTACTCTACTTTAGAATAAATTTTGGAGACGAAAAATAAAACCATCATAGTAATAATAAAATAAGCAATTTGGAAAAAAATAATTATTTTTACATACTTTGTTGTTCTTTGCCAGTACCCTTGTCCCTAGCAGATACATGAACGATACCATTTGCATCAATATCAAATGTTACTTCAATTTGAGGAACTCCTCTTGGAGCAGGAGGTATTCCGACTAATGTGAACTGCCCTAAAAGTTTATTGTCACAAGCCATTTCTCGTTCGCCTTGATGAACCTTAATTTCTACTTGAGTTTGACCATCTGCCGCTGTGGAAAATACTTGACTTTTTTTCGTAGGAATAGTTGTGTTTCGCGATATTAATTTTGTGAAGACGCCCCCAAGTGTTTCGATACCTGTAAAGAATAGACGAAAGTAATAACTAAAATTTATATAATTTAAATTAATTATTTCGCTTAAATATCAGTAATGAAATATCCTCATTGTTGTCAGAGAGAAGATTAGACAATTATACATCATTCGTTAAAATCAACAATTTATGAGAAATATAGAATAATTACCCAGCGACAGAGGCGTAACATCGAGAAGGAGAACATCAGTCACATCTCCAGCAAGTACACCACCTTGAACAGCAGCACCAACAGCTACAGCTTCATCAGGATTAACAGCTTTTGAAGGTTGTCGACCGAATATTTCTTGAACTGTTTGTTGAACTTTAGGTACTCTAGTCATCCCTCCAACCAAAAGAACTTCACCGATGTCGGATTTTGATATTTCAGCATCAGAAAGAGCTTTTTGACATGGTTGTACAGTACGTTTAATAAGGTCATTTACAAGACTTTCAAATTTGCTTCTTGTAAGTTTAAGATTCAAGTGTTTAGGTCCACTTGAATCCATGGTTAAATATGGTAGATTTATATCAGTTTGTAAAGAACTTGATAATTCAATTTTCGCTTTTTCAGCTGCTTCCTTTAATCGTTGCATAGCCATAGCATCTTTGGCCACATCTATACCTTGCTATAAATAAGTAATTACCGATTATGTTACGAAAAAATTCTTTTCTACAATTTCTTATATCTTTACAATTTATTAATACATACGTCTTTTTTAAATTCAGTCACCAAATAATTAACTAACGCGTTATCAAAATCTTCACCTCCCAAAAATGTATCTCCATTAGTTGATTTTACTTCAAAAACACCTTTTTGAATTTCTAAGATCGATATATCAAAAGTACCACCACCTAAGTCGTATACTGCAATACTAAACGAATATATATTAATTAAAAATTTGTATATTTGTGCTTAAAAAATTAACTAGAAAATAAATATAAGTATAAATAAATACTTACATTTTATCATCTGTTTTATCCATACCATATGCAAGTGCAGCTGCAGTAGGCTCATTGATTACTCTAAGCACATTTAATCCAGCAATTTGACCTGCATCCTTTGTAGCCTGCCTTTGTGAATCATTGAAATATGCAGGCACAGTGATGACAGCATTTTTAGCTGGTGTGCTAAGATATGCCTCTGCAGTTTCTTTCATTTTCATAAGTACAAAAGCACCAATTTGACTAGGAGAGTACATCTTTCCATCTCCTCCTTGTACCCATGCATCTCCATTAGATGCTTTCACGATTTTATAGGACACTGTTTTCCTGTAATAAGATAATACGTGCAACTATTATTTAATTTAGAAAGTATATACACTACTTACATGTCTTTTTTCACTTCAGCATCATCGAATTTTCTCCCAATGAGTCGTTTAGTTGCATAAAATGTATTAGAAGAGTTTGTAACTGCTTGCCGTTTAGCAGGCATACCCACTAAACGTTCTCCGTCTAAAATTTTATAAAGTCTTTATTATCATTTTATTAAATATATATCTAAGAAAAACAAATTAAAACAGTATATTAAAATATTGTTTAAATAACCAAAGGAATAACATTATAAACAATTACCTTTGGTGAATGCAATATAAGATGGTGTTGTTCGTGAACCTTCAGAATTCTCAATAACCTTTGGCTGTTTACCTTCCATTACTGCTACACAAGAAAATGTTGTACCAAGATCAATACCAATAACAGCTCCTTTGACACCTTCAGATCTAAATATATTAAAAAAAAACATTTTTTAATATACATTACAAAAATTTCTTCGAACATGTGTAAAGTAGAAATTCTTTTTTTTAAATCATATTTACTTTTTTATGTAATCTTTACAAAAGATTACTTACTTGTAACGACATTGTTGTAAATCTGTATAACGTTGAGGTAGGACAATTCCAGGAGCTGCAACCTAAAAATCATTATGATATATGAGAAAGAACTATATAAACAATTATTTAAATAATATTCATATATGTATATGTATATGTATATATATATATATATATATATGCATTCAAAGAAAAGTAAAATATATTAGTAATATATTAGCAATTGCCAATCATGTAAGTGATGAAATATTATTGTATATTTCCACTACCAATCCTGAAAGACTTATTTAACGCTTTTTCTTGATGATTAAGGAATCCTTATTATAAAAGCTACCCAAAATAAAGGAAAAGCCGGTTTCTGAATCAATCACAAACAATACGTTATATCCATTGATGTGTTAATTTGCACTAATTGCTGGACATTTAGCAAATAGATACGATAAAACATAGTGGAATGAATCTTTTTTTTTACGTGATATAGAAATCGTATACGACGCACACATTTTGTTCGATCAATGATTCGCTCGACGTGATGAGAATCGCCATAAAAACTTACATTTTTAAGTATCGTACTGAACTGCTGTTTTCTGACAATATCGCAGCCAACACCGTTACAGCTTCTGCTAAACAATCTTGTGGCAGCCAACATTTTCGTTTATTTCTTTGATTAAGTCTAATTTCGGTGAAGAAACGAACCGGAAATCTAAAGACCAACTTCACGTGTAGTGATGCAACTCCTACAAAGACTCACGATACGCACTCTATGCACGCTATTATCACTTTCGTAGAACATGCAAGAAGGACAAACAAATTTTTGCATTGACCAATCTTCAATAGCCTGCAAGACTTTGAACCAATCAAAAATCGAGTTTAGATGCTCCGCCTTCTTGTGACTTCAGAACTATCCCGAACATTCGAAAAATTCATCAAATTAATTACGAAGATAAGATTTACTTGGAAGACATAAAGAACTATGTTATCATTTGAATATTATAATAATTCTCTGTTATATTACTTTTCTCGATATAATTTTTCTACTTTATATAATACATACAATTAAATTAACGGTATATAATAAAGAGTAGATCGACAACCGGAACTACAGTGTAGTGTAGTAACTATTTCCGGAATTTCAAGCAAATATGATGTAATCATTTACTAAAGTTACCGCGCACATCGCAAGAACGATATAATCGATTCACAGTTCTCTTTTTCTCTGTTTCATTCCAACAGATGATGCTACGTTGGCACATAAATGATAACAGATTCTACATCTTGGTTACTATTATTACTATGGGTAAATAACTTTTTGAAGCATTTACAACGTGTAGCGTTTTACATCTTAAGGAAGATGACGGTCGATATTGTCGAATTATTAAAAGAACCGAGAATAATAAAGGTCTGCGCGCCAATGGTTAGATATAGTAAGTAAGTAACAATAGAGTATTTTTATGAATACTCTATTTTTTGCTGCCAGTTTTTAATAAAATTAAATATGAATTAGTATTAACAATGTTTTTTTATGAATGGCTTTCATTCAGATTACCATTTAGAATGTTAGTCAGACGATATGAATGTGACATTTGCTTCACACCTATGATAGTGGCAAATTCATTTGTGAAGTCAGCTAAAGCTAGAGATAGTGAATTTTCAACAATAGAGGAGGATACTCCACTTATTGCACAGTTTGCAGCCAACAATGTAGCAGATTTCTCTAATGCAGCAGAAATAATTGCTCCGTATGCTTCTTTTATATAAGTATATTATAACTACATTTTATTTGTCTAAATATACATTTAGATATATGTTCATAATGCAACTTCTCTTTCGCAGATATTGTGATGGAGTTGATTTAAACAGTGGTTGTCCGCAACGATGGGCTATAAATGAAGGATATGGTGTAGACATGTTAAAACATCCAGAACTTGTAAAAGACATAGTATCTCAAGTCAGAAACCGTGTGCCTCATCCATTCACTGTTTCTGTAAAAATACGTATATTAAAAGATATTCGCAGAACAGTTGATTTTTGTCAAACACTAGAGAAAGCTGGTGTATCATTTTTAACTGTACATGCAAGAACACCTGAAATGCGTTATGAACCTATACATTTAGATGATCTTAAAATTGTTAGAGATAGTGTACAATTACCACTTATTGCTAATGGAGATGTGAAAAATCTAGAAAATGCACAAAAACTATATGAAGCAACTAATTGTCAAGGAATAATGAGTGCAAGAGGTATTTTAACAAATCCAGCTCTTTTTTCAGGATATACAACTACACCACTTAGTTGTATTCAAGATTGGATAGATATTACAGCTAGGATTGATGCACATTTTTTATGTTTCCATCACCATTTAGTATTTATGACTGAGAAAATGTTATCAAAAAAAGATAGGGTATATCTTAATAGTTTGAAAACCAGAAAATCTGTTTTAGAATTTCTTGGAAATCATTTTGATATAAGACCAAGTCCATCTTGTGATATAATAGAACAAATATTTTGTGATATTAGTGAAAGTAATATTGCATATGATAATGAAAAGCACGCAAAAAATAGACAAAATATGGAATGTAATAATATATATATCGAAAGAGATCAATCAGAAATACCTAATTATCTTCTAGGAGATTTATTTCAAGAAGTATAGAATTTTCTATACAAAATTACATAAAAAAATAATTTTAACACAGAACTATACTATGTACAGTTTTAAAGTATTGTCATTTTTTTTCATTTTTGTAAAATATGATATCAATGCAAAACAATTGTTTGTAATGTATAGAAATATATTTTATCTTTTAAACGAAATTATAAGATTTCATTTTTCATCCACTCAATCAAAGCTGTATTTAACCATCTTTTGCTCAATTTATACGTGACTTTAGCAACGGGTATAGAAAAAATAAAAACTAGAAACACATTAGGATAAGATAAACCCTTTTCTTAATTTATTGTATCAATATATGTTTGTTCAAGTATACTATGCTCCTCACATTATTAACGCATTTGGTTTGAAGGATTGAATTGATTAAAAGAATTCGTTTAAAAAATATGAACATAGATACTACTCTCATATCAGATTGATATTACATGCACTGTTTCTGAATCCACATAAAATAATAGTAATATATTATAATATCGTAGAATAATAAAGTAATAGAATACTCTAAAAAATACATAATTATTATACTTGTTTTATTTAAGTAATAATAATATTATTATTATTTTACTAAACCAGTTTATTATTTTATTAATGAATTATTAATAATTAAGCACAAAAATTATATATATATATATATATATATATATATATATATATATATATAATTATTAGTTATAAAAGTAACAATGTTATTACTAAATTTTATTCGATTTTATAATAGTTTATGCCAACAATGAGTTAGCGTAACTATGGACCGATTTTGATGAACAATGCTTATTTTAAATTTTTCATTTTTCTTAAAGAAAATGTGTCGAAAAATGATATTTCTTTAATAATAGTTTATGTCTAAAAATAAAACTTTTTTAAAAATTCAATAAAGCGAGGACCTCGCTTAAATGTTCATCTTTAAAATGAGACGTTGTTCATTAAAATTACATCATGAATTACGTCTTGACTCATTATTGGTGTAAACGCTGTTCTCGACATTTTTCGCAAACAAAAATATCGTGTAGTGGCGTCCCTTGAAATCTGTGGTAAAAGAGAAGAAATTGGTATTCCCATTATTGATTTTCATATAGAATGATGTGTATTTGTTCCGTGAAGTAGACAATTGCCTGCTTATTTTTTCCGTAAACAGATTTTCTGATCCATTTAAACGCAAGGAAATGCTTTTCACGATGGTCACATAAAAAAGCTATGATAACTCATTCTGGCATTTTAAATTTCAAATTCAAAAAATTAGTTGTTTATTACTTTGAAATGTACACTATCACTTTTATGCTTACTATTATATATTATGATTCTATAAATGTATTTTTTATATACACATAAGTAACAAACCGATTCTTATAATATATAGATCAAAAAGAAATCTAAAATCGTTTAAAAAATTATCTAAAAATAATTAAAATGTTTAAAAAATTTATCAATGAATGTCCAGATATAAAGCAATAAAAACAATATTTGAAATATAGCTGGGAAAAGTAAAGTTTATGTCCCTATGATAGAGAACCTAGTATATATTTCCAAAATTAAGAAAAAAATCTTTAATTTTTCAAAATTCTTGAAACGTAGCAGTAAAACTATATTTTAAACTGATAAACAATTACAATTGTGTAATATTTTAATACATTTTTTACACTGAAAGCCGAAATTTTTTTGAAGTTCTTCCTTATCTGATAAGGAATAATTAAATAAGGCGTTATTATCCAATCTCATATTTATTTTCTCCACTGATAACTGGAATGTACGTTTCGAGTTGATTTGTGCTAGATAAAATACAACGGCGGTATAATTTTGTTTAATGACAAATGCATATAGTATATACATTTATAGATTATTTTATAAAAAATAATAATTAATGAATATATATTTATAAATTATATATTATTTTTATAGAAATCAGAACATTTGTTTGTTTCTACATTATTAACGAAGTAGAACTCCCAGCGTTATTTTTAGTATTTTTCCTACAGGAGTAATCCACTTTATAGTATATTACTATTAGTACTACTATTACTATAATAATAATATACAATATAATAATATAATAATAGTAATAAAGATAAGAAAAATAAGTAAATACATCATGAACATCTTAGAATACATATGATGATAGAAAAGAAAGATATAAATATGAAAGATTGAAAAGTGTTAATTCATAGCTTATTAAATCACCTATGATATAACTAAACGTTTATACACCAATGTGATAGGTGCATGGTAGGAACAGCGTTCCCCGTTTGTGCTTGTAATTCATATTTTGTCCACACCTGTCGCTGAAGTCATACACGCTTTGGGCGAAAGATGTTGAACAGTCTTAATAGCCGCAAATGTACGTATTATTATTATTAAAATTTGGTTGAGATTATTATTCTACTTAACTATGTGATGCATCACGTTTGGTAGAAGGCAATACGTTTGGAAAATCTATAGTACAGTTGCCCCTTACTTTAGTAAATCAACTATGATATAGAAAAATGAATGAGATAAGTTGTTGAAAAAAATATCATAAGTGCGAGCAAAAAATGACAGACGGATGGTGGAATTCAACAAACGTGTTATTGTCGTTTTTATCATCACACCATCGTTATTACCACTACTATTGTTAAGACGAATTACAATCTATTTTTTTTTCGTCACTATGTATGTAGAATATTTAATCTTATTTCTTCTATATATGTTTGATTAAAAAAAGATTTTCGATAAAATATAACTTTTATGTATAAACATTTTCTTCTATTATTTCAGTAGGGAACTTTTAATGCATATGTTCTTTATCGTACCGTTTTGTTTATTTTATCATAATTCTGTTTTTCATACTATTTTTGGAACTCTTTCTTTTATTTTTCAGAAAATGGCACAGCTTATTCAAGATACGATTATTACCAGTTCTTTAGCTTTGTCTAAATCATTACAAAATGATGGTATATAATTTGTTTCTCTTATATTTGAATCATAATAATATATTTCCGAAGTATAACTTTAGTATCTTTCATTTAGATAACGTATTTGATAAAAAAGCATTGCTACATGAAAAGGAAGAAACAGATATTATATTGATACATGAAAACTGCGACAGAGTATTGAGAAATAAGAACGAAGAAGTACAGAATAATA